TTTTTTGTTTCAGGTAATAAAAAGGTCATCATATCCATGTTTTGATATAAAAAAAAACTCAGAAGTCAGTAATCGTAAGCTCTTGCGGAAGAAATGAACGTATCACATCCCTGCCCAGTTTATGAACAGTATAGGTTGTTGGGTAATTTAGAAGGGGCTTGGAAAAGTGTACTTGCTTGGGCGTTTCTGTTCTAGTTTCAATACCGTATCTCGCTTCCAATGCAACACACCCGAATACCGTCTAAATACATGCAGGTTGATCGGGTAAAGCGGTGTGTGCCCTGTTCGCTCTTTGTATCGCGATGTTGGAACAAAAGCGAAGACTGGCGACTTCACAAAACAAGTACGTAACTGCGGGACAGCGGGACTATCCCCGCAGTCTTACACCAAACCAGGGATTGGGGACGACGCGCCGTACGGTGAACCGGCCCGCCGCCCGCCGCCCGCCGGTGCGACTTTCGAAAAGTCTTTTGTAAGACACTTTGGACCTTTTCGTATTCCGCAGGCAACCCCCGCGGGTATTTGTGCACGGTTTGTGGGGAAAACGACATTAAAGACGACATCCCGCGCTGTTTACATACCTTTACTTTTAGGCTAACTAGTTTTCAATGTGCATCTTTTGTTTTAAAGAGAAAATTTACTTTTATTCCAAGTTTGGGCGTCTGCAACCCTCTGAAAAAAGGAGTTTTGATTTTCCACACAAATCAACCCATCCTGCGTGAGCTGAATTAATATCTGACAGCGAATAATTCAAAGAAATAAGTCAGTTTCTGAATGTCAATTTTCGAGGTGAAATGCAGCGAGGGGACGCATCTTTGTCGGCGGATCTGTTTGTGCGATACGCAATCCGAAATATAAAAGCTACTTATTTGGACGCCCTCCCCCCCCCCCCAAAAAAAAAATCCTATAATAATAAAATTTTGGGGGCGGGGGATTCAGCAGTATTCCAGAAAAAACAGTGACAAAGAAAGAACTAGAAGATAATGGGTAGGCCTACGTTTAAAGAAAAAAAGAGAGAAACATTGTCCAAACACGTCCAAATTTAAAGATTTTTGTGTCCGACGCTTTTTTAGCTGCTTCCATCTAACTTGCAGTGTTTTTCAGACACCCTTAAATAATAGCATTGAATAGGGAGAGTTAATAACACTTTATAATAACTTTAATTTTGTGCTGTAGTATTAATTTCACCAGATTCATATCCTACACCCAATTCAACTTTGGCTCTCATGTATAGCAAAGCGCACATGTAATGACGTCATTATGTCTGAGGTCTTTTGGGCGACATGCAGAGTTTCGATACCGTATACATGTACATGTATATTTCTTTCCATGCAACAGACTTACACCGCGCAATCACGGTTAATACAAGCCGCTATATGCCCCATTCGCTCTTGCGTCACGATATTGGAACAAAAGCGGAGAAGTTGAGCAGGCGAGGGCTTCGCATTCAGTGCAGTAACCAAAGCAACAGGTATACCTTTTGAACAAAAAGGTTACGTAACGGAATGCCGGCTGCAAAGAAACTGGTGAACAATCGTGTTTGGAAACAAAGCTCAAGAGTCGCTCGCGAGAGACCGAAACCTCTCCCCACGGTCTTAAAACAAACTACATTGAATGCTAGAATAGACGACACATCGTGACCAACATAACAGGAACATAACATGCTCCATACATGTTCAAACCGAGTCACTAGCGACGTCCCTTTAAAAAAAAATGGGACATTTGGGGTTTTTTTTTCAGACATCCTTAAATAATAGCATTGATAGAGATCGTAAATAACACAATCTAATTACTTTAATTTTGTGCTGTAGTATTAATTTCATCAGATTCATATCCTACGTCCGATTCAACTTTGGCTCCCATATATAGCAAAGCGCACATGTGATGACGTCATTGTGTCATGTCTTTTGGGCGACATGCAGCCACACTGAGTTTCAATACCGTATACATGTACATGTATCTTTCTTTCCGTGCAACAGGCCTACACCGCCCAAGCACAGGTTAATACAAGCCGGTATATGCCCCATTCGCTTTTGTATCACGATATTGGAACAAAAGCGGAGAAGTTGAACAGGCGAAGGCTTCCCATTCACATTGCAATAAACGTATACGCTTTGAACAAAAAAAGTTACATAACTTTTTTTTTGTTACGTAACGGAGGACTCACGAACAGTGCGCTGCACCAGTCGTGAAACAAAGACCATATCCCGAAAGCACTCTTCCTGGGTAAAACCAATGATTTGATCCTTTCCAAAGAAACTGGTGAACAATCGCATTCGGAGACAAAGCTCCCGAGTCGCTCGCGCGAGGCCGAAACCTCTCCCCGGCGCATTCTTAAAACAAACTATACCAGGAATTGACACATCGTGACCAACAAAACATGCTCCGTACCTGGTCATACTAGTCAGCTACCGTCGCGTCCCTCGACTATGTAAGAATACGGGCACTATTCGGCGAACCGGGCCCGCCGCTTTCGAAATGGCAAGATATTTTTGCGATTCGTGAAAAAAAACCCAGCGAAAATCGTTCCTTTTCTTAATGTTAGCTTAAAATTCTACAACAAAATAAATTAAAAGCAGACACAAGGTCAAAGTGAAAGGAAAGAGGAAAGGACATCGAGTAGTCAGTGGATACTGCAACATGGACTTACCTGTTCAAACGTTTCGCTATAAAGTCAGTTCATTTCAGTTCATTTATTTCCAGTGCTCACTGCATGCAATGTATACGTGTACATGTGCATGTCCAACAAAGGAGCGAAAACAGTAGAAGAATCCATAAGAAAACACAGCTTGTATTATAGGCATGGGCCCTAGAACACAGTAGGCCTAATGTTCAGACACCAAGTGACAATCAAGCAAAATGCTGCATTCAGAGAAAAAGATTTACATGCAAAGATAAACAAGAAGGAAACAGATCAATTATTTTATAAGCAAACAAAGGAATTTAAGGAATAAATAACTATAGTTTCATATATCAAAGTGAACATTCAGCAAAATAAATTTGTAAACATGTAGAACTTCTTCAGGAATCAGTGGTACTATGGTTCCCTCATATTATAGGTTTTGAAGCAAAAGAAGTAGTTAATGGCGGATAGAAATGAATAGTTTGCCGAGTAGAGTAATGTATATCGAAATTCCTTTTAAAAATATAAAATAATGGATTGATGAGTATACGGTATTGGAAATAGACCGATAAATTGTGGAAAAAATACGGCGAATGTACCGTATACGAATGCAAAAAAGTCAGCAAAAGTGCCGATGAAACAGGATCGTTTATAAGTCATTTAATAAATCGTTTGCCGGGAGTTTAAGTTTAGAGGGTTTTCCTATACATACATGTATGAATACAAAGCGCAGATTGAGCTAAACAATCCTCCAAAAGTGTTTCCAACTATATATTAAGACTCAGTGGTTCGACAAACTGTAAATACAATAGCCCAGTGGTTAGGGTCATCGTCCACAGTCCGCGGGGTCCGGGGTTCGAGACCGACCGAGGTGCATTTTTGGTTTGCAATACAAGCGCTCAGTCATTTACTTTAAGAGTCTTAATTTCCCGTCGTCTAATACCAACCGACCTTAGCTCAATCAGTTAAGTAGCCGGCTGGGACTGTCTGCGAAGTCCAGGTTATGCATCTACTCATAGGTACGGGGCTCTTTTGCTGTCTCGGCAGCAAGGCATAGGGTGTCGCCTCGTTTCCTCCCTTAACGGTGCTTGGCCCTCCGGGGTTACATGGATGGATAGGGAAGGAGGTGTGGTGGGCCGGGGAATCCGAGACCCAGGAAGAGCCCTATATGGGAGTCGGTAACCAATCGCGACCCCTGAATGCTTGGTCAACACCACATAACTTTTTGTTTTTCTTTATCACATTATTTTTTTCATTGTCGAGGCTTTAGGCCTATAAGGTACAGTAAAAACGAAAAGGTTTTCTTCAAAATGAAATTCGCCATTTAACATTTTTCCAGCCGGGCTACTGAAACAGACTCCTAATTTTAACAAGCCCGCATGTTTTTCTTTTAGTATCTTATAACAAGAATGTACATACATGTAAAACATGTATCCTGAGGCAATCTTGTCAGTGTTTTAAATAAACAGATCATTTTTTTTACCCTAAACAAATAATAAAATAAGATACAAATTGATACAGGTTTGCTTTCTGAATTGAATGATTCATTTCTTCCGGTCCTTTTGCCGTAGCCCAATATTTTTTCACTCGCCAGCCGGGCTACTCAGTCTTGCGGGCCCCCGCTAAAGTCGAACCCTCAACATATGAAACAGCTATATCAACATTTTAGTGTAAACAGAAAATCCAATCACAATGATCATCTCCACTGCCTGCACGGGTCCCTATTCGCTACTGGGTTAGTGGGAAGCAAATATTGATATAAAGTGTCTTGCCCAAGGACAAATATACTTCAGTATAGCAAGGCTGCTTGTCGGGACCGCACAATGACTCAACTGTATCCAATTCACTCCACTTGGAGTCTTGCTATTGCCTTTTTGCAACCTCTGCTGCACTCCAGCAAGATTAAGGCCCAAAGTGAAGGCCGGAAAAAAATCTTGACAAAAATATCGGCTACTTGGCGGAATAGCCATTTGCAAACACTATAAATGACAACTTGGGGAACTTAATCCCCAAATTTACACGTAAAAAGAAAAAAATATATATATATCGATGTTGTTCAAAATATTTGTCAATGGAATAGAGGACTGGGTATATTTATGGCAATTACAAATCATTATACCCTCACCTTAACACCCCCCCCCCCCCCAAAAAAAAAATCCGAGGCGCTCACAACATCCTGTTTTAATGAATAGGATTAGGAAACCACTCGCGCACTGTTTCACCTGAAAGTAGACGCCTCGAATCAAGGCTAATATTTGCTCTGCGACAAGTTCCGGGATCCCTTGAAATCCGTGAATGACGTTTTATACACGTACACAATGCATGCAGTACACAATGCATTGTACAGTGTATATACTGTACTGTATGTGAAGTGCAGTCATTATTTTATGCGAACTCACGTGTGCATTCAACGTCAAAAGAGTTTAGCTTTTCTCAATGGATTATAAGCTTTTGTGAGATTGCCGTTAGAAATATCCTGGAATAATAAAGTCAAAGGTTGGTCACCGTCTGGTTCATTTTGGGTAATACACGGACGAGTTTTAGGTTACTTTCGACAGCGCAAGTGAAGGGTAAGTTTGTGCGTATAGCAACATTGCATCATTCATTTCAACATACATGACATATGTTCAACATTTTGTCGTCGTTGTTATGCGTTTGTCAAATGCCAAATCTCAACTCAGAATATTGTGGGCTGTTTCGTATGGTGAAATTATAATTGTTGCCGAAATAATATCTTTTAAATTATGTTAAATACGTTTTTGTCAGGAATCACAAAATATTGTTGCTTGTCGGCGAGATTAATAACATGTTTAAAGTTGTGAACAATTGTTTACTTAAGTTTTACTCAGTTAGTAGGCCCAGTCCGAAAAAATTGGGACTCTCAATACTAGTTTTTGATTTTATTGGCTGAATTATTTCCTAAGAAATGCAGCTAAAGGAAAGAGTCTGAATTATTATTTGCATTAAATTGGCGATTTTCCCAAACTAAGTTATTATTCATGAATATAAAGTGGAATAACTAAAGACTGTTAAAACCCCACTGTATATTAAAATGTATTAAATGATCTCTTTTGTTTTCTCTTGCAGACTTTTTGGCAAAAAAGAAAAATTTATGAGTTTACAAATTCTGAAGAAACAAGTGCAAGCATTGAACTTCTGAGGGACTGCAAGTACATGTACCCGTAACTTTTGATCGAAGTATTTCAGGAAAGTGCCCAGTCATGGACGGAGGCCCAGTTAAAGTCAAACGGAACCCTTATCTGAGTGCTAATCCTCTTTCCAAGCTCTTCTTCACGTAAGTCTGAGGTTTATCCTTATTTCCCTTTTTATAAAGTGTGCCGTTCATCCCTGCCGCAGCATATTGTGAGCTCTACGTGCTGGTTTTGCATGAAAAGCTCTGTTCATGGCGATCGTGAAGTGTAGGGCCCGTGTTTTGTTTTGATCAAATTAGAGTCAAAAATGTTTTTTATTGCCCAAAAATTACCTTTACAACCAAAAGCAGACTTTTCTCAATTCTAATGACACCCGTTTGAACAGATTCTTGGGGTAGAAATAACGATTTTCCTGCGTGGTTTGTGCCTTGCGATTCAGCAGTGTGCTCATGGTACATTGTGTGGTGATCGCCATCTTTATTTTCGGGTCGCGTGTTGTCGCCGCGCTGTCATCGTCATTTTACCCCCAAATTCCCCTCAAAAAATCAAAACCCTGCCCTCTATCTACGACATACCTGTTTATTGAGAATGTCGCCAACTAGTTTGGTAGGTCCAATAATTTTAAAGTGGATTTTGTTCCCTTATAGGAACTGGGCCCTACACTACACAATCACCTGTTCATAAGGCCCCCCCCCCCCCCCAAAAAAAGCACAAAAAAACAATTGACAACATTTTTTTTTTGAAATTCCGACCTACTGACCCTATTTTTGAAAGGCATGTAATCTGAAGCAGAAATATTTTTTAATTGGCCTAAGATTACAACCGTACATTGCAGAGCTTTTCCAATTCTGCATGTCGATTCGAATGCCCACACATTAAAAGAATAGCTTATCTGATGCTCAAGAATTGTTTTTGTTCTAAGTGTGTCAAATTAATGTACAGTTTGATACATGTAGTTGGCGCGTGGTGGACACATTGGGCAAAGTATCCATCGTTAACACTTTTTCATGTTTTTTAAGTCAATAATTAAAACAAAATTTAACTGTATTTTGCTTTTGAATTTACAGCTGGATAGGAGGGCTATTTAGTCTCGCCTACAAAGAAAAGAAACTATCACCCAAAGACCTTGATAATGTGCTGCCGTCCGATGAATCAGTCCATTTAGGTGACAGACTAGAAAGGTAAATGCTCTTCAAATATTTTCTTTAAATGAACTCTAAAATTCTGCATAAGAACTTGTTTTGTTTTTAAATCTTCCTTAAAAGATATATGGGATCATTTGCATTTATCCCAAAAGTAACCTACCAAATTGTTATCAAAAAGCTTACTTGGATTAAACTTTGTATATTAAACAAACAAAAACAAAAACAAAAAGTAGAAAGGTAAACGCTCTTCAAAACTTTCTTCAAAAGAACTCTGAAATTCTGCACAAGAACTGTCAAATTGGTGAGTTGCACATTTTCCAGTATAGCAAGTTATCAAACTTCATTTAAAACCCAAGTTTAGTTATTCTGAACTCGCTGAAAAATTTCAAGTTTTTGCATTTGTTTTGTTAATGGGTCCTTTCAAACCAGTAAATAATGGAACGAACTCACTGAGTCTTCACATGAACTCGTGGCACGGGCGCCGCCATTTTAATACACACTAGTTGGTGTCCCTCAAAGAACGTATCGTAAATGCATGGGCATACCTCAGCATTTAAGCAAATTACAAGTTGTTTAACATTGATTGATCGTTCCTGTTATTGTGTTTTGATGTCTTGGTTTTTGTTTCTTGCAGGGAGTGGGTAAAGGAACTTCAGAAAGAACGACTTGGGAAGACGGCAAACCTCAAACATGCGTTGTTTCGGACGTTTGGTTGGTCGTACCTCATCCTTGGCATCTTTGCTTTCATTGAGGTAATTTCAAGCCATTTGCGATCTCAAAATGCAGAGAAATTCCCACAGTTCTAAAACAGGGCATGCAAGTTAAGGCTGCTAGATAGTAGATATGTTTCCAAAACCAAACACATTCATCCCAAATCGATTTGAATGATTTAGCATTAGAATTTGACTTTAGAAATGTTTAATTAAGAAATATTTAATAAATTGTGTGGGCCCTACACATTTTTTATTTTGTTTATAAAGCATTAAGGCAGGCAAATGCAAAAATCCCCAAAGCATAAAAAAAAATTTTAAACCGTTAAAATGCAAAATTATAATAAGCATGAACAGAACTTGTTCTTGTCACGCCAAAAATTAAGTTAAAGAAAAATTTATTGTTGAAAGCATACAGTATCATTCTGTCTGTTTTATTCAACTTCACTTTATGCATTCAAATTAAATTTATGAAACCTCTTTCTTAGCTGTAAAATCTTTGTATCAGAAAAAAAAATTGCATTGTACTTCAAGGGATTATAGATAAATATCTTATTATACAAATATAATTGTTCATTTGCTATTCCTTTTTCACAGGAAGCAGTCCGCATCGCCCAACCGTTTATCCTGGGTCGTCTTATTGACTACTTCTCCCCCACCGTAGTCGTCCAGGAATGGGAGGCGTACGCCTACGCGGCGGGAGTCACCTTGTGTGCTATCACGCTGACGTTTGTCCACAGCCCGTACTTCTTTGGACTTCAAAGAATCGCCATGAAGGTCCGGGTATCCCTGTGTACGCTGGTCTACCGAAAGGTGAGTCAGCATTTGGATTAAAGACAGATTCCAGAAGCAGATTTTCAGGGATGTCGGGAGGGACACGAGAAACTGGAATATTTCATTTTGAAAGGGATCACGTTGGCCTCCTATGAAGATTCAACACTACGGAAAAGGGGTTACAAATCTATAGTAATGATTTTAAAAATATTTGTCTTCTCTCCTCTGGGTTTATTATTAAAATATAAAAACTTGGGGGTATGGCCCCAACTGGCCGTTCCCCTGGTACCACTGCTGTATAGGCATCTGCTACCAACCCTTGCTCTTGCTACGATGAAACAGATTTTTAAAAAAAAAATCCCTAAAAGAGTCTCCAGACAAGGGGCTGTACTCCATCTGGACCCCCTCCCTCCCTTCTTGATTCACTGTCATAGTATAACGTGGACTGAGTGACCTTAAAGTTTCTTAACTTTTGTCTTTTGTCTTTTGGTGTAGATGCTGCGGCTCGACAACACTTCCATGCGTCAGTCCTCGAGCGGTCAAGTAAATAACCTCATGACAAATGATGTCCAAAGGTTTGATATGGTAAGTAAACAACAACAATAACAACAACACAATAATAATGATTGCACCAACAACGAGCAGCATTGAAATATCAGTGCAGTATCAATCACAACAACATGAGCAAATTAAGGCAACACAGACAAAATAAACAACTACAATTAAAAAAAGTTTAAAGAACAATAAAAACAAGTTAACAACCACAAACAACAACAAATGCAAACAGCTATTTACATTAAAAACTTGTTACAACAGTATACAAAATAAATAATATTTCCAAGGGCCCAACATTTAAAACAATCGAATTCAGGGGCGGATTTCTAAAACTGCTCATCGCAGAAAATTTTAAACACAGAAAAGAGTTGCTTAAGCAAAATGATGAGCAATGATTTGTTCTCGGATGATTTTTATCAGAGTGCAAAACAGTAAGCAGTACTAGCGGTGAAAAGTTTTTTCTTTTTAATATCACGATCTTAGACTCTGGACTTTTCTGTCATTTTCCTTTTGACAGGCTCTGATCGCCTTGCACTACCTGTGGCTCTCCCCACTTCAAGCCGTCATAGTCCTAGCCCTCCTCTGGTTAGAGATCGGTTGGGCCTGCCTCCCTGGATACGCGGTTCTTATTCTGCTCCTTCCGATTCAAGCAGGCATGAGCAAACTCTTCTCAAAACTCAGGTACGAAGTCTTAAAATCATCAGCGGCTAGCTTGGTTCAAAACTAATATCTTGTTTGTTGAGGCTTAGAAAATCCACAGCAACAAATGTTTCAGTACCTGGTGTTCAAAAGTTAATGAAAATTTTGATGACATTGAGTGTTGTTCTTACAGAATTTGAGGAAATATGTTTCTGATTTGGTGAAATGAAATACTTGTTTTGTTTTTTTTCTTGTTTTTTTGGTTGTTTTCCGACGGGTAGGTTTATAATGGTCATGTAGGTTTTCCCTTTATTATAAATTTCTGTAAACGAAAGTGACAATATTAATGGAAGTGAAAATGTTCATGAAAATTAAAATTTTTCTAAGGACATTGCATTTAGTTGTTGCCTTTTGGCATCCCTACAGGGGAAAAACTAGTCAGTAATTCCTGAAACTTCATGTCGGTGACTCATAAGTAAATCTCCCTCCAGCATTGTCAGCGTCTAAGCTGACAAATCATGACTGTACGAGACAAATTTCCCCAGTCCCCGTACCCAACTACCCCCTCCCCTGCCCGACACGTGGCTTAATAAACCCAGGAAGTCATGGCTCTGTTCAGGCACGTCCTCGCTGAGATAAGACTAGAGCAGGCACTTTGGCTGCTTTTGGGCTATAACCATTTTCCTTGGGATGTTGAATCTACTAGCAAAATGTTGATTCACTCCTGGTTAAAGACAAGAAACAGTATGAAGCTTTCCTGGATTAAGCAAAATCCCCCTTTCGACATCAAATTGTCTTGTTTTGAGTGAGGTCATCAATTTGGAGGTAATTCCAAGATGTGTGCGAAGAGAAGACAAGCTTCTTATTTTAGAAACTGCAGGTTCGAGATTCCGACCCTAAAAGTTCCTTCTAAATTTCATGAATGAGGTTGTTTTGTCATTGTGATATACAGGCCGGCTGAACAGAAAAGTTACTCGGCTAAATGAGGAATTTACCTTACATGAAATTTTGACAGGAAACAGTTAAGCAAATTTTTTTGTGTGAAAACCTTAACAATGTTTTCATCTTTTGAAGAGTTAAAGGGAATATCCAACATTTGCTATTGCTGTAATTTTCAGAAATATATGGATTTAGGAGGTTATTATTTTGTTTGATGTTTTGGGTTTGAAGATGCTGGTAAAAAAGACAAGAAGAACAATCGTTTTCTTAGAGTCTGGTTCCCTGAGCCCACATAAGTTGAAATGGTGAAATTTCGATGTAGGGGAATTGTAAGGGCAGGGAATCAGGCTAGCTGGCTTTTACCCGTTCACAGGTGTGTAATGGATTGCAAAGAAAATGCGGACTTACTAAATATGATAAATTGAGACTAGTATTTGTAAACAGCCATTTTTTTCCAATGCTGGTCAGCCGACCAGCATTAGAAATTGATACAAAAACACTCCTTTTTTTTAAAATGACAGCACACCGGGTGCCATGATTTTACAGGATGCTTTAGACTGGAATTCACTAACAGTCCAGTAAAGTATTCCAGAATAATTTGGTAGTTTTGTTTTTTGATGTTTGCAAATGTTGTATATCCCCTTTAATGACAATGTTGTTGTAAACTTTGATTAACTGTTAACAGGAGAAAGACGGCAGCTCATACAGACAAGCGAGTGGGAGTGATGACAGAGATTATAAACGCCATGAGAGTCATTAAGATGTACGCTTGGGAACATCCATTTGGTGAATTAGTGCAGAAAATCAGAAAGTAGGTATACATGTAACTTGTGGATTGCTAAAAAATGTCACATTTTGTTTTGTTTTGTTGTAAATTAGTTTTAGACTGATTTGAGTTCCAAGATGGAAATAGTTTACTGAATGTAATCATCTGTATTTCCTTAAAACTTGTTTTCAAGTAAAAATCAACATTTTTTAAAATTGTCCTTTGATTGGAGATCTACTGATATATTACAATTTAAAAGATTAGATAAGGCAACAAAATAGTTCTGCTTCCAGTTTCCCTACTTACCCTATTCTGGCAGCCCCTACTCTAATTTTTGTTATGGGAAAAATAAGGGAAAACACTCAAAGTCATCAATTTCTACCTTTTACCCTTGACTACGCGCAGACGCCTGCATATGATTGTACACCAAAAAATTGGCCAAAAAAAATTCCTAACCTACCTACCCTATTTTTGAATGCCATGAAATCGGAAGCAAAACTATTTTTGGGGCCTAATGTGTAATTTTTGAAACTTTTTTTTTTAATAAAAAAAACCTTAATTGTTGAAATTTCTCCTTCAGGGCAGAGATTCGTAAGATCATCCAGGCATCCTACCCAATGGGGATCAATCTCCTCCTCTCTATCTATGGCAACCGTCTCCTGGACGTTTGCATGATCATCACCTACGCCTTCACCGCGACCAACATCCGCGTCTCGACCGTGTTTGTCGTGGTGACCTACTGTGCGACGCTGCGAGGGTCATTCTTTCGGTTTTTCTTGCGAGCAATTCAGATGCGATCGGAATGCCTGGTGTCCATCAAGAGAATTCAGGTACATATCAGGAGTGATTATCGCTTGACGAAATTGGGAGGAATTGGAAAAAAAGGATACTCTGGGGTAGAATAAATTTTGGAGGAACAAATCTTCGTAATTCTTTTTAATTATGAGTTTATGGTTTCTGACTAGTACTTGTTCTGCAAGGACCTTGACTCATTGAGAGACGTTCAGTCAACATTTATTTATTTATTCCTTATTTTTTTTTAAAAATTTTGAAGAATATTCAAGATTCCCACTTGAAGCAGTTTCTTGGCTCAGAATAACATATATTTATTCAGTCATTTTATTCTTTACAAATTTTGAAAAAAATATTCAAAAATCCATACTGTGTTGTAGAAATTCTTGCGATATTTTTTGAAAAATGTCTTTAATGGTCTGATGATTTCTTGACAGAAATTTTTGCTGCTGAAGGAAATTTCCCTGCCATCCGTTGACCCCTCTGATGGCCCTCATCAAAACCCAGGAATTCATGTGCAAGACTTGGCGGGCTCTTGGGATGAAGTGAGTAGCATTTTGTTTTTATTCCGTAACAAAAAAAAATAAAAATTCTCAAAGGTAGAGAGTATTTTACTTGCAATTATCCAACTTTTTAGTTACCCTTATGTCTTTGGTCACACTTGTCAATGCAGTTTGTAAAATTATATATGATTTTGATGGTGAATAGGCCTTAAAAGCTCAACATAATTTTGTTTTTTGCATTTAAAGCTATTTTCAACGAATGAAGCTGTAAGTGATGTAATTTATGAAAATGTAATTTATTTCAACAAATCAAGCTGTAGGTAATATTTCCGTAAGTTATGAAAGTAGTACTTGAAATCTGGAGTCTGTTATAAACTAAACTACTTCAGAGCAGGGCCAATTAAGTTGGACACCCTTAAAAAAATGCTGCCTTTCGGAATGAGAGGAAATAGTTACTTTAAAGGGAATGTACATGATTGGCTTTCCTGTAATGTTCAGAAATGAACTATTTGAGGGGTTAGTATCATAAATCAAATACTGTTACACTGACATGTTTGAAGTTTTGTGTAAAAAAATGCTTGAAAAACCAAGAAAAATAAATATTTGCACGTAGTCTGGTTCCTTGACTCCACTAAAGGTAAAAATGTATCAATTTAAAGATGCCGAAAAACTGTAAGATAAGGGAACCAGTCTAGCTGGCCTGCACCCGTTCATGAACATGTAACTAATAGCAAACACAATTTGTACTGAAAAATGGTAAAGTTGGAGCAGTAGTTGAAAATAAGTTAGGTTTTCCAACAGTGGTCGGCCGACCACCGTTGGAATTTTATTAAAAAAAATACCAGTTTCTTCAAACTGACTTCACACCAGGTGTCATAATTTTACAGGATGCTTTAAACTGTCATTTACCAACATCCTAGTAAGGTATTTCGTAACAACTTGGTAGTTTGATTTTTCGATGTTTGCAAATGTTGTATTTTCCCTTTAAGTACCATAAAAACACAGTAGTCCCTGTACTGTCCCTAACCAACCAGGCGCTCTATGGTTTCCTCAGGGAATCAATACAATGTAATACAATGTAGAGAACAGGTGCTAGTATGTTAAAGTGTTCGCTTGGAATTCAAAATGAAGGGAAACACCCTGGAGTCTAGCTGTACACAAAAAGGTTCAGCGCTATCTGACCTCAATTATGAATGGACTTCAAAGGGGAATTCCCTATGACACCATATCCTGGTTCCGTGGTCTGCCAAGTTAATAATTACATCCTGGGGGGACTGTAGCCAGACATTCATTATGTTGACTCAGTGGAGAACCACACTAACGCAATTCCAAGCAACCGAACAATGCAACTCCAACCTTGGGGGGGGGGGGGTCCAGGATCTGATTTGTGTTTTTTGCTTTCAGTAGGATCATTACGAGACTTAAGTTTGGGTGTATGTAGTAGTACTACACAAGTACTACACAAATAATGACTTTGAACAACCTAATCAGTTTTCCACACTTTGGGACTATGGTTAATTTTTTACAGCATATTTGAAGTAAACAGGATCTGGTATTCATGAGATTCAATTGGTAAAAGGTCTGGTTCCTGACCCTTGAAAGTTCAATTGCCAGGGCAATTTGGGTTACTGTGATTATTAGCTGTTGGTACGCTGACCGATATGTGTTATACTTATAGGTGAAAATTTATGTCACAACATAATGTGACGTCACATTAAAGGGGCATTTTTCTAGCGCTTAGATGTATAGAAATATAGGCCTGATTTTTGTCGTATTTGGAAATGTAGTTAGGCAGGGATGTGATATTGGTGCAAAATTGAGATGGGGGCATGATGAGGTCATCACATGTTATGTGACGTCACATTAAAGGGGGGCATTTTTCTATGGCTTACATCTTTAGAACTATAAGGCCAATTTGATTGTAATACCTAAACCGGGATGTTTTATACAGCCTGTCTCCAAAAAAATGGTACAATCGAAAACAATTTTTTTTCAATATTAAATCTCAACATAAGTAAGTCGTTTTGAGCATCACATTAGAGAAAAAAGACCAGGCTTTCCAATACTTTTTGTTTCATCTCATTTGCTTTTGTCAATCCAGAGATAACTCCAGTTTACTGCGGAACACAAAAATCGAGTTTGTTTCTTTTGCCAAGTTGCAATCTTTTGTGAGCTTCAAGACAGCATGGCACAGTACTCGAAACAACTCTGCCCATGCATAAAAGTGACACAAAATCAATTTTGGTGTATCGCACTAAATTGATTATATCTCTGAATTGACAAAAGCAAATAAGATCAAACAAACACTATTGGAAAGCCCATCTTTGTTCTTTAATATTATGCCGAGTAAGAATGACTTATTTTGAAATTTCATATTTAACCAATTTTTTTTCTGATTTTACCATTTTTTTTGAGACAGGCTATAGACGAAATTTGGAATGACTGATGGTGACATCATCACATGTCACAGAGTCGTTTCAAACAGCCGAAACAGCTGTGTTTGTCCGTAAACACTTTTCTAGTTTTTGATTGATACAGAATTGAAATTACATTTGCTGAAAAATGATTTTAATAAGTTTGGGTAAACAATAGTATAACAATCTTTAGTGAAGTCACTGGTTCAAACTTGCTGACAATTTGGGGAAATGAAATGAAAAACAATTCAAATTCTTTGTTTGACTAATTTTTCTCCATTTTTAAAGAGCTGTCATTGTGGTTTCAGTTAAACCATAGAGCAAGGAAATAAACATGGTTGTATAGTCTTGACAAAATGAATAGTGTGTTTTTTATTCTTCGCATTAACGCAAAAAGAAATAGTACCTAGTATGTTTTTGACATTTTTGTGGGAAATTATAGGATTGATGACAACTGTTTGTAAAATAAGAATAATAAAAATAACTTCTGTGTGTGTTTCCACTATGTTGGACAAAAAAACTCTTTGACCACAAAACAGGATTCCCAGCCCTTTGAAAAGGAACCAGGACTTAAGTTTGACAAAGGAGAATTGTTAAGTTGTGTTTACACGAAAGCCAAGTCCTTAATGCAGGTAACACCCATGGAGTGACTGTACTGTATTACAAGGATATATTTTCTTTCAGATAATGGACAAAAGCAGGCGTCAGACATCGCCTGAGGGTTATCATTACTTTATTTCTATAAGTCAATTTGTACATGCAGAAGGATATGTACATGTACCTGGTAGCTTAACCTTATCAACCTGAATCTATCAATGTCCACACCCAGGGTTTGTAGTATTATGAAAGATTAAGGACCGAAAATAGATGTAAATCAGACAACCCTCCTTTTGTTTGATCAGTCACACACAGTCAAAAATTCAATCCAGTTCCCCTGCCATGCCTTTTACACAGGCTAGTCACCAACAGTCAGATCGTATTTCTTTTAGGCACTGTGACAGTCAAATTCTATCAACAGACAAAAGCAGGTGACTGGTAGACACAGCTGGATTATCAATTTCCTACAGTCAAAACATAGCGATATCAGGTTTCATAACAATCACAGCCAGTCAATCCTGCTTTATGAAGGCAGGGAGGGCTCAACTGTTACAAACAGTCACTTGATTTCTTTTGACAGCTGGGCTGGCCTTGTTGAAATTGCCAGCCAGAGAGGGAGGGGCCGGGCCATGTGTGCCGTTGGTTTTACTGCATGTGCCATTGGCTTTACTGCAGAACAGTTTGAAGGGTTTCAAGATAGTGGTGTACATTTACTGGTACTATGGGAACTGATGACCCTGTACCTGTAAAAGACAGTCCTTATCAAAACTGAAGACAACAGAAAACTACAACCTGGTAAATCCCCCCTGTTGTCAGGACCGCCAACCCTTATCAGTGTCAATATTGGTGATGTCTGAAAGGCTTTATACTGGTAGCTTTATGGGGTAAACTGTAACTTTTGTGAGCATCATCTGTCAGTTGTAAAATGCACATAAACATGAAATCTGTTTTTGGTTTTCCATGTAGCCTGGTTTTCATTTTGAAACTTCCCCACAAAATGGCATTCAGAACCTTACTTTTTCATATTCTGAGACACTTGTAAAGTTGGTTGCGGGTACCTGATCCCATAATGTGGAACCGGTTCCTGCCATCAGAGGTCGGGTACTCGGGTACCCGATTTTGATGCACATCCCAATATGAGGAGTGGAATGACAAAAGCTTAATTATGCAAACTAGATTCAGATGTAGCATTTATGTTTCTATCAGGTAAATTTACTAAAAAAAAGGTAAAGAATTAAAGGTATTATACAACATTTTGCTTTTGCTGTAATTTTCAGAAATGGATGGATTTGGGGGTTAGTATTTTATAGCAGATGTTGTTACAATGACCTGTTTTTATGTTCATAGATACTGAAACCAAGATCCCTGACCCTACTTAAAAAAAACCTGGAGCAATCTATACACGCCAGGGATTGTCAGGTCAGGGAACCAGACTAGCTGGCTTGCATCTGTTCATGGATGTGTAACAGATTGCAAACAAATTGTGCACTAACTAAATTTGGTAAATTGGGGGAGTATTTGAAAAAAGTATGGGTTTTTTTCAACAATGGTCTGCCGACCATCGTTGGAAATTGATACAAAAATTCCACTTTTCTGGAAAATGACAGCACACCAGGTGCCATGATTTCACAGGATGCTGGAGACTATTATCCACTTACAGTCAAGTAAGGTATTTCATAATAATTTAGTAGTATTTCATAATAATTGTTTGATGTTTGCAAATGTTGTACATTACCTTTAATCTAACATCATTTTCAGTCTTCTAATAATTTTTTTTTTATTTTTTTTTTACTTTGCAGAATTTAGACAACCCTTCACTGAGTAACATTAACTTTGATGTCTCCAAGGGAGAACTGTTGGCTGTGATTGGTCCGGTGGGATCTGGCAAGGTCAGTCTTAATTATGCATTTATTCGTGGATAATCATCATTATTCATGAAATAGTCATGCATATTGATAGAGGAATATAATGAGGTATTCGTTCCCAAACCTGAAAGGTCACTTGCAGAGTTGAGGAAACTAAATAAAAATCTCGGGGTTGGTTCTGTTTGAAGGAGGGGGGGGGGGAAATGTTAATGTTTTCACACTTGCAGTATTTTATTCACATTGTAACTTTTGGTAAGATTTAGATCTACACATTGCCCTGGTGAGATTCGAACCTGGCACACTACAGATGAAGTTTGAAAACAGGTCCTCCTCACAATAAGGTCCAAATACCCTGTTGCAATCAAAACTGAGGAGAAAAAATCTATGTTTGAATTTACAAATTAGTTCTAAATTGCTCAGATTTGTGGAGAGAGTTTCAAATTTACGACAATTTTAAGAAATAATTCTCTGTTTGCATTCTACAGTCATCCCTCCTCATGGCTCTCCTCAAGGAGCTACCCACAATCTCCGGCAAGATAAACATTGACGGCCGGGTTGCCTACGCCAGCCAGGAACCCTGGAACTTCAGCGGAACCATCCGGCAAAACATCACGTTCGGCAAAGAGTTCAAACAGAGGAAATACGACCGGATCATAGAAGTCTGTGCTTTGACCAAGGTGAGGCGAAGGAGACATTTGTCTTCATTTAGCAAATTTCAGAATTTTTGACTTGAGAATGATTGAAAATCTGATTGAAAATGTGATTGTCTATGTGGTACTTTTCTTTTATTCCCACCTCATGTGGCTGTGGTTCAACGCTGACCCGGAGCATGTGCCATGTGGATATCATTGTTAGTCAAATTGGTTCCGTTACAGTTTTTTGGTTTGGGTTTTCCTCAAGTTTTGTAAGTAAAATGACACCAGTATGGTAAAAATTGGTGGTTGTATTGCATTTCATTCTTTGTGTCGTATACGTGAGTCGTTGAGCTGTTTACTCCCAAATGAATTGAGAATTGCTTTGAATTCATGATGAACAGGGGTAATAATAACGTAGCCCCCTCAAACAGATGTTGATTGATATAAACGATTATTATGCCGTAACCATTTGATATATTGTAATGATTGTTTTTATGATCACAACAGGACATCCAGGGTTTCCCAAATGGTGACCTGACCATCATCGGTGAACGAGGCGTGACCTTAAGCGGAGGTCAAAAGGCAAGGGTCAACTTGGCCCGCGCGTTGTACGATGACGCAGACATCTATCTGCTGGATGATCCGTTGAGCGCTGTCGACAGCGAAGTCGGACGACACATCTTTGACAAGTAGGTCTACAGAAATCAGTATAGAAGAGCACCAAACCCAAGGTGCCAGCACTGTGTCCAAGAAGGGATTCGAACCCACATATCTGAAGCCTCAAATACAGAATAGATATCATCTTCCATTTGCCAGGCCACAAGCTCTAACATGCCATTTTTGTAAAATTTTCCAATTTTTGTTTGCCCGTATTGGTTCATTGTCTAATTTTTCGTTCACACATTTTTATTCATTTTCCCTGTTTTTGACTGCCAAAGTTAGTTGGATTTTCCAGTTTTTGAACAGTTCCCCCAGTTTTGTTACATTCTTTAATCCTCATTTTGATCAACCCATTTGTGGTCAATTCCTTAATTTCCCTGTGTCCATTTCCTCATCAGGTGCATCATGGAGTACCTGGCCAACAAACCTCGTATTCTCATCACCCACCAGTTGCAGTTCCTGAACACGGCCAACAAGATCTTGGTTCTCAAGGAGGTAAGACCATTTCATAAAAAAAAAGTTCCAAACATACTTTCCTGGATCCTGAAATGATTTATATCAGCGTGTGAAGGACCCATCCCCAAAACATAATACTTGTCCTCACGGCGCACAGAATGTAGACCAGTTTATGTATCACACGAACACAAATGCAAAGTGTATTTAAAATATGGCGAATTCTATAGACTTGGTGTTTCAACATTTGCCGTAGCCTGCTGTAAATTAATAACTCTCAGTCTCCTGACAATGACTAGAGAAGGCGAAACATTGAGACTAAAGACAAGTTCTTTTAGAATAAGAAGAAGTGGTCTTATCAGAACTAAACCCCACTTAGCGAAAGTTGATAATAAGCAGGATAAGTTCTTATCAGAACTAAGTATCTACCGAGCGACAGTAGTTGTTACCACTTGGTGTTACCGCAAACCGAAACGATACTGATACTCCACCATGCAAAGCCTCAAATGGTATATAAGTCCAGCTCGCTTTTACACTGTACAAAGTGATGGTAAAATATTAGAATCAGATATTTTTTTGCCAGAATTGCCTGAAGTTAAACTGAAGATCCTGCTCTTATTTACATTCAAGGGTCATATGGAAGCAGTTGGCCCACTGAGTGAACTCCACAAGAAGGGCATCGACTTCGCCTCCCTGATGAAACAAGACGATGAGGAAGAAGAGGACGAGGAAGAATTTGAAGACGATGTAGAGCATCCTGGTCTAAGGAAACGAGCCAGCACCAAACGCAGCATCAGGTCACAAAGGGTGAGCACAAGTCATCATAGGTTCATCAGAAGATAATCACATGTCATCACAAGTCCATCACAAGACATCACAAGTCAATCACTAGGCAATCTCAAGGCAGTCACAAGGCAGTCACAAGTCCATTACATGTCCATCACAAGTCAATCACAAGACATCACAAAAGTCAATCGCAAGACATCACAAGTCAATCACAAGACCACCACAACTTCATTGCAAGACATCACAAGTTAATTACTAGGCAGTCACAAAGTAGTCACAAGTTTATCACAAGTCAATCAAAAGTCCATCACTAGTCTATCACATGTCCATCACAAGTCCGTCACAAGGCAGTCACAAATCCATTTCAAGTCAATCACAAGACATCACAAGTCCATCACAAGTCAATCACCCGCAGAATTACCCACAGACCACGAGTTCAGTGCTCCAGACCACGAGGCCACAGCGCTTTTCAGAGTATAAAGAAAGATGTAAACTTAGGGATTGTGCCTTCTAACGCTATCTAAATTGGAGATCATTCATATCCAGGTACTTAGTTCCACTTTTGACGTTTTTGTCTTTTCTTTTCAGAGTGTTAAGGATGATAAGCCATCGCCTGGGGCTGCCAAAGCCTTCAAAGATGAACAGGCCAAGAAAGGAGACGTCACCGTCAAGGTTTACTACAAGTACTTCAAGTCTGGCGCCAACTGCCTCATGATGTTCCTCCTAGTCGTCTTCTTCTTGGGAACCCAGGTACATTTCAAGTGTGGCATTCAATTCAGGCATACAACTTGTCCTCAGATCAGCTGATTTCCTCGTTTTGCACTTTACACTTATGCCATTGAAAATTGAAAAACACTGTACAAAGTCTTGTAAAGATAAGAGTTTCCTCGTTTTTAGTTTCTTCCAATTTGCATGCCTGTCAATTCAAGGGCCAATGTTAGAATCTGTAAAATACAAAAAGTATTAACGTAAACTGATTTTGTTGTGTACACTCGGTATTTAAGTTTAAAGTCTGTAAAGGCTTCAGTTTTTTTTGGGGGGGGGAAATGGTCAAACGTTGAGATTTTGTTGTTCTAAATGTACAGACCACCGTAGACAGGTGTTGAAGTCTTTTCACACTCTTGTCTATCCCGGGTTGTAGAAAAAAGAGACACTGTCATCTTTATGGAATCCATAACCTGATATATGTTTCCTTTTAACTGATGATCGTCTCTTCTTTCAGAGAAGCCTCAACAATATTTTTCAGCATTAATGATTGCACTTTCCTTTATCGTAACCCTCCACAACCCTTTGGGAACGTTGAGTTCACAACAAACCGGTTCTTTTCGGAACCATGCACCTTCTTAAAAGAGATTCTTCCACATGGTGTTACCGGAATCTGTCACCCCATCACTTTGTTTCATCCTTATAACACATGTGTTCTGTTGGGCTAATAAGGCCCACCGAAAAACTGTTGTTAAGAGTTTTTTTCAAGGTCTTTGATTACAACTTCAATGGACGTAACCGTAGCTCTGAAAGCACGATTCTGAAACAGCCAGATTACATGATGTTAAACATTACGTTTCCTTTTGGATTTTGTTTGTCAATCTTGTCCCTGTTTGCAGGTTGCATACATCTTGGCCGATCTCTGGCTAGCTTTCTGGACCGAGGAAGAAGAGAAGAGGCAAGCCATGAATATGTCCATGCTGAACGAATCACTGATGGTGAGTCATTAGGTTTGGAAGCCCTGTCTGCCAATACTGGGCAAGTTCGCGCAAGAACTATTGTTGACCATTGGTTAACCATAGTTCGACTAAAGTTTATAGCCTGAACTCTGTCTAGTCGACGGTGGTTGACTACACTAGTCAACTATTTGGAACCAACCTACTGGGGCTGGTTGCATCGCTGGTAACCAATAGCCGCGCGCATTCATAACGCTAGCAGAGAGCCAGGATCCAGAAGTTTTGCGATGACATTTTGACAAGCGTTTGACTAGAGACGTTCACACGTTGCTATCAGTGCGCAGGCGTAAGGTACGTAAAAAATCAACCGCTAGTCGACTAATGGTCCTTGCCCGAACTTGGCCATTCTTGCAGATTGGAATACCAGGGGCCTGTAAACCTGGCACCTGTCAACACTTTTTAATTGATATCGCAGTATGTAAGGGAGCAGACTAATGACCAGCCTGGCAGCACATGCACAATGTGGATGACGCTGTAAGATCTGACATTTAATACCGTTTTTTTAATTTTTCTCTTTGACTATCCAAATTCCCCAAAGAATGTTTGTGTCGGTCAAGATCATAAGTGGGTGCAGCATTCTCAAACCTTATGGCCTTAATGAGGTCAACTCAAGCTCCACCCTGAAGGATTTTTTTTGAGAGTTGAAAGGGGATGGAAGCGTCATCTGCAACATCTGCTGACATTTGAAGAAAAAAAAGTAGGGGGAAAAAAAAACAATTTGGGGGCAAGCTCCATACCAGAAACCTGAGACTTTTTGGGGGGGCCTAAGGACTTGGGTAGGATACTGAGTAACATCATAGCAAAAGCTGCTTACTCTTGAGATAAAATACAAGTTTGTAAGCTTAATTTGCATGTGCTGTTCATAGTTTTCTTTTGTAAGCCGTCCATATTTTATAAAATTCAAGAGTCTATTCAAAATTTTTTTCAGCCGGATAATGAAGATGACATCAGCAGAGGTCTTCTGCAATTCAACCTGGATTTCACCACGGCACAGAGCGCTTACATCTATGGCGGCTTTGTGGCTCTTCTGTTCCTTCTGGGTATCATTCGATCGATTCTCTGCTTCAGAATCATGATCAAGTCCTCCCGCAATCTCCACAACAGGATGTTCAAAGCCATCATTCGGTCACCGATATTGTTCTTTGACACCAATCCTGCAGGTTTGCTATATTTCCTTTTTTAAATTTTTTGATTGAGGGCGCTTTGCAGTCTGTTCATGTTGGCGTCATGGACTCAGAAAGTGATTAGTATATGCTGCCAAGATTTTGCAGTACCCATGCAAAGCCCATCGCATACCTGCTTGCTGTAGCACATTTACATGTTCAGCAAACATCAGCTGGTAATAGATCACAGAAAGCTGTATGCATCACACGAGTTGTTAAAACCAATTGTATCTTTGCTGAACAACTTTGTGTGCTGTGCTAGCAGAACCAGAGTATCATAAAGAGGTTATTAATACCAAATTTCTACCTTTTATACATACATTTGTTGACAAATCCTGGCACAGAGTCACTGAACACTCACGTTGGCCCCCAGTAATGGGGGAAGTATTGCATCAGCTATACAGTAATCTCCTGTAACTCAAACTCGGATAACTCGAAACCCTGTTTAACTGGACCTTTCTTTTTCTGTGTGCCAGGATTGTTATTTTACTGTGTTAGTTGATGATTTGTTCATCTTTGTGGGAGGTGACACAGATACTTGTTGACTGATCCATTAACTCTGGACCTTTCTTTTTCTGTTAACCAGGGCGCATCTTGAACCGCTTCACCAAAGATACCGGTTTGATGGACGACCAACTGCCTCTGACGTTCTTTGATTTCCTTCAGGTAACAATGTCCATCACAATGTCACAAAGTCCCTCACAGCTCCTCACAAATCCTCACAAGTCCTCACAAGTCCTCAATCCTCACCGGTCCTCAATCCTCACAGATCCTCACAAGTCCTCAATCCTCACAGATCCTCACAAGTCCTCAATCCTCACAGATCCTCACAAGTCCTCAATCCTCACAGATCCTCACAAGTCCTCAATCCTCACAGATCCTCACAAGTCCTCAATCCTCACAGATCCTCACAAGTCCTCAATCCTCACAGATCCTCACAAGTCCGCAATCCTCACAGATCCTCACAAGTCCTCAACCTCACAGATCCTCACAAGTCCTCAATCCTCACAGATCCTCACAAGTCCTCAATCCTCACAGATCCTCACAAGTCCTCAATCCTCACAGATCCTCACAAGTCCGCAATCCTCACAGATCCTCACAAGTCCGCAATCCTCACAGATCCACACAAGTCCTCAATCCTCACAGATCCTCACAAGTCCTCAATCCTCACAGATCCTCACAAGTCCGCAATCCTCACAGATCCTCACAAGTCCTCACAAGTCCTCACAACACCTCACAAGTCCTCACAAGTCCATCACAAGTCCATCACAAGTCCTCACAAGTCCATCACAAGTCCATCACAAGTCCTCACAAGTCCATCACAAGTCCATCACAAGTCCTCACAAGTCCACAAGTCCTCACAAATCATCATAAATCTGGAAGTGTAATTTAACTTGTGACCAGACTTGTGATGGACTTGTGATCAAATCAACTACAGCACTTGTCAGTAAAGTCATAAAAGAACAGAAAGACAAAAGGAGAAGAGGGAGGGGAAATTTACAAAGACATGAGTAGACCTGACAACAACGAGCAACATTCCAGAAAAATAAATCTTTCACATTTGACTTAAAAAATTAGAAATGAAGACCACTGTTACAACTTTTAATTAAAATAATTGTTTCCTGTGTTTCAGATCTCCCTCCTGATTCTCAGCACCATCATCTTGACCGTCATCGTCAACCCTTTCGTGTTAATCCTGCTGGTACCTCTTGCTGTCATCTTTATAATCTTGAGAAGATATGCCTTGATAGCTACGAGGGCCATCAAACGTCTTGACGGTGTCAGTAAGTAGCCGTCACTGTATGACCGGGCTCTTATGAATTCCTGGATTTTGGAGAAACTTAAGGCATTGTCCCTGAAAATCTCGGACATTTGTACAACCGTGTATATTGCTCTTTTTTTCCAATCATATTACTGAAAAAAAGCCCGTAGAATGCCATTATCAGGTGCTGGAAGTAGCTATCATAAAAAATTACAAGAAAAGAGGACTTTAAAAAGTGAAGGAAACACCTGAAAATGATATGGGAACAGAACATTTTTAAAAAGTGCTGGAAAAATTACGGAAAAATATTTGGGTAAATTATGGAAAGCTCAAAAATTCTGGAAAATCCTCTGATTAGTTTCAGAAAATTTTGGGAATGAAGGTCATGAAAAAGTCTTGGAAAAATCACAGAAATGTTTGAAGATCCTTTTTTACTCGCACTTCGTAATTTTTTGTCTGTACTCATCATTTTGTGAAATTGTGTTCCCGTATCGCACCCTTTGCACCTTATCATCCAGTATGATATATATTATCAGAGCTGTTTAGTTCCCAAAGAGGGATAATAGTGGGTATTTATAAAGTGCACACATCCACCAGGACTGGTGCTCAAGGCACTACATCATTATTACCCTTGCTCATTGGGCCCATGAAACACTCCAAATACCATCTCAGCTCCCTGGAGAGTATACAGCTCGATGCAGCCTGTTAGGCGCAAGGAAGCTAATTCAATCACAATAACCGTCTCTGCCCTCACAGGTACCCATTTACTCCTGGGTGGAGAGAAGCAATGAGTGACAAAGTGCCTTGCCTAAGGGCACACGCACCATGCCCCCAGGCTGGACTCGAACCCGCAACCTGCAGCTTTACCCGCAGACCACGAATCCAATGCCCTTAACCACGAGCCACAGCACTCCAAACGATGTACTTTATGGAAGAAGAAGAAGAAGAAATAATCCTTAAAAAGTTACAAGAAAGTGAAAATACTGAGTTTGAATCAGAAAAAATACTTGGTAAATTGATATTTTATATCTAGCGTATAAAGAGAAAAAAATAGTCCCTTAAAAAATGTCCCCTCTTCTGTGATTATCCTCATTGCAGCTCGCAGTCCTGTCTTCTCCCACAACACCACCTCCTTCCAGGGCCTCAGCACCATCCGAGCCTACAACAAACAAGCCCAGTTTATCAAGGACTTCAACCGTCACCAGGACCAGCACTCGGAGGCGTGGTTCGCCTACCTGGCCGCTAACCGCTGGTTTGGACTGAGACTGGACATGATCATGGTCATCTTCACTGGTGGGGTCACTTTCATCTCGGTCCCTCTCAAAGGAGGTAAGTACAGGCTGCGACGTAGTCCTTGGGCATGGCACATAGAGGGCGCTCTACTATAATCATACATCATTTATAATTGTCCCAAGTGTGTTCCTTGTAAATCGTTGGGTGCATGGAAGAATGTCGTCAGTGCGAAAAATGGGTCAAAAGGCCAGGTTTATCCGGTAATCGGTAAAGCACTGAAGTATCTTTCATTTGGTGTACATTTTGCCTCGAGGGGTTACGTCATTCTTACGTAATTAACTGTGTAAAAAAAGGGAAGGAGTTTTTTCATTATTTTCCCCCGGCATACGGATGTTAGCGTGTAATACTATAGGGACAAAACATGTTCCCAATGAATTTATGTCATACTGAAGTAGGGAGATAAAGCAAAGTTTTCTCCTGGCCAAAGGTCGTTGTGATTCAACGTACCTCTTAAAGGTACAGTCCATCATTTGTAAATGTGCATTTTGTTCGGTTGAAACAACAAACGTGCTCAAAATCTAAAGAAGGGTGCTGAACAACTAACCTGATGAAATTTCAGCTCAGCTTCAGCTGTATATTCCGAGAAAAACAACATTCTAGGATCTCGATTTTCAAATCAAAAGTTGCTGAATCATGTTTTGAATTGGGCCTGAATTGGGCGTCCGAGACACGTTCTCAATGAGCCGATTACAGCTACGCGATGTCGCGAACTGATCCGACGAATTATAGCAACCGCACGCGCTTGTGTCGCGTCAACGCTTGCGCGCACTTCGCCAAATTAAAAAACAAACTTCTAACGGAAATTTCCAACGATGGGTCTTTAGACACATCATTGGAAAGGCCTTTTTTCGTTGATTTCTTAAAATGACAGCATGCCACAAAGAATACTTTCACAGGGAGTTTAGTCCCCTTACTATCTTTTAACAAAGTATGTTTTTCAACAATAATTACGTCATCTTTTTGGATAGCTGCAAATGATGGACTGTAGCTTTAAGAGCGCATTTAAGACAGGAGGAGTTCCCAGAAAAAGGTTGTTAGCATAAAAACATAAATAACTATTAATGAACTAATTAAGCAATATTTTGAAATAAAAATGCACAATATTAATCGAAACATTAATAATTTCATAAGTCAAAATGTCAGCCTTATGTGATTTTAATTTAGAAATTGTAGCACCAAAACCTTTAAACTCGATTATCTCAAATTTGCGTGCCTGTGCTGCTGATGTTCCTTTCCTTCGCACATGACAAAGTCAGTCATAAAAAGTTGCATAGGATAAAAAATGTTGAAAAATTCCTTTTGTTTAATTTACAAATAGATTTTAAATTTAAGTGTTATTTTTTTTTTTTTTACCTGATTTCATGAAGTCCTGGGTCTAGGACAAAATAATAGACTGTATTGCTGAAATATTTGTTATTCTCCTTAACTAGAATTGGCCTTTTTCACTTGTCAACTTCAGTTTAGATTTCTCAAAGTTAAGAGTCATCGTTTCTAGTTATTATTCCATTGTTTTCATTCCTTATTCTATTTCCAGCTCTAGATGCAGGCCTGGTGGCTGTTATCCTGAGTAACATTCTCTCGCTAGGCACCATCTTCCAGTACGTGGTCAGGCAGAGTGCTCTTGTAGAAAACCAGGTTTGTAAACAGCTGCCTCCCATCTTGGCTGGCCCCACTTTTAAGACATGATTGTTTTAAATTCCCAACAGGAATTTTCAGATAAAAAAAGCGGAGTGACTGGTCTTACTCGAGTAACATTTTTGGGGGATTTGGAGGCTCGATAAGCAATGACTCAACTCGGACTCGACTTGTCAGACTCAAAATGCAGATTTTTTTTAAAGATTGTTCCGATTTTTAATCTCAATCTTGGTCACAAAGTTACAACACTTATCCTTTTTTGTCTCCCGATTTGTCCAGATGACATCTGTTGAGAGGACGATTGAGTACACGAAGCTAAAGCCAGAGGCTCCTCTTACCAACCCCAAGAAGAAACCCCAGCCAACATGGCCGCAGTTTGGTGCTCTCACCTTCAACGGTCTGTCCCTCAACTACTCAACGGAAGGCCCCAGAGTGCTGAAGAACATCACCTGCAATATCATGGCCAAGGAGAAGGTGCGTAATACGTTGCTGCATAAGTAGCAGCCATCTTGGTGTAGTCCCCTATGGTCATAGTTAAGAGCCCATTGAAGTCAGTTACCCCATGGGAGGTACCGGTCTATTTTGAAATACTACAATTGAATAATTTGTGAATAAATATAACAGTTAAAACCTTCAATTATTTAAACTTTGCTCATCTGCATGGAAAACAATGTGATCACACTGCGCAGAGTTATTTATTGCGAGAGAAAGTTTGATATTCTCAATTATGTGAAGTGAAATGTGAATTTCAAAACTGTGCCTTTTTTCTATTAAGGAACTTTATGACAATGAATTTATAACAAAGTTATAATACCCCAAGTAAAATAATCAATTTTCAATCTCAGGTTGGTATTGTCGGTCGGACCGGCGCAGGCAAGAGCTCCCTCATCACAGCTCTCTTCCGATTGGCTGAGCCGAGCGGCGTCATCATGCTCGACGGCATCACAACGTCCAACCTGGGTCTACATGACCTCAGGAAGAAACTGTCAATCATTCCACAGGTGGGTGGAGCCTAAGATGTGATCAACCAATGGCGTTCACTGTTATGATAATTAGGCTGTGGTTAAGATTGTAGTCCACCAATTATAGTGCCTGTTTTATCCTAGTCCACGCTAAAGCTGTAAGATAACTCCTTATTGGTTGCGCTAGGATAATGGTCATAATGTTACTTTTACGGTTAATAGTGTACAATCAACAAATATTTTAACCTATTTTGGTGTCTCGTGGACTATTTGATAAATTGTAATGACTTTTCTCGCTGCTGGCGAATAACATGAATTAAATCTTGCGATTATCCCACAAAATGAAACCTTTAACTGCTAATATGCTTCCTTGAATCTATCTTGTCTAGGATCCTGTCCTTTTCACCGGTAGTCTGCGCTACAACCTGGACCCCTTCAACCAGTACTCGGACATCGAACTCTGGAACGCTCTCGACGATGTAAGTCATCGACCTGCTTGTCTGTCGTTCCGTAAACCATTTTTTGACCGGTCCATAAAAATACCAATCGCTATGTGCTGTACTACTCACATTGTGGGCCCGAATGATCGTCGCTGCACACAAGACATTATCAGGGTGCAAGGTCTATTTGTTAGAGAATGCACTTCCAAAAGTTGTTTTGATGGGAAAATGAAGGGGCTGTGCTTTTGATCAGAAAATAATGTATTTTCGTGTCTAGCATTTTTGAAATTATTTATTTTTTGCAGGCCTCGCAGAGCTTTATTCACAATGTTGGTTCAAATTTCATATGCCCGTTCTCCCCCCCCCCCGCCCCCCCCCCCCCCCCAATGCCTGACATCCCCTTTCATTGCCCTCCCATCCCCACTCTATACCCCTGTGTACCAGTAAAGGTGTTTTGTGGGAGAACTGTCTCGACAATTTGTTAACAGTTCAAATCGTAAAACTAGGGCCTGATATTTCGATCTTAAAGGGAATATACAACATTTGCTTTTGCTGTAATTTTCAGAAATGGATGGATTTGGGGGGTTAGTATTTTAAAGCAAATATTGTTACATTGACTTGTTTGAAGTTTTGTGTTCGTAGATACTGAAAAAAAGAAACAAGAAAAACAATCATTTTCCTGTAGTCTGGTTGCCTTGCCCCACTTAAGAAGAAACGGAGCAATTTTATAGACGTCATAGAATTGTAAGGTCCCCCACCTAAGAAGAAACAGAGCAATTCATAGACGTCGATGAATTGTAAGGTCAGGGAACAAGTCTAGCTGGCTTGTACCCATTCATAGGTGTGTAATCAATTGCAAACAAAATGCCGACCAACTAAATATGGTAAGTTGGGGGCAGTATTTGAAGAAAAAAAAGCAACCAACATTTTTCCAACGCTGGTAAGCCGACCAGCGTTGAAAATTGATACAAAAATCCCACTTTGCTTGAAAATGACAGCACACCAGGTGCCATGATTTCACAGGATGCTTGAGACTATTATTCACTCACAGTCAAGTAAGGTATTTCATAATAATTTGGTAGTTTTGTTTTTTGGTGTTTGCAAATGTTGTATATTCCCTTTAAGAAGAATCGTTACCAAGCTTTAGTTCTCAAGATTCTCTGAGACTCGACTATCACATCAATAATGTTGACAGGTGCAACTGCGTTCAGTCGTCCAGGACTCAGCTGAGAAGCTGAACATGGGGGTCGGCGAGTCTGGTTCCAACTTCAGCGTTGGTCAGCGTCAGCTGATCTGCCTTGCACGGGCAGTACTCCGACAAAACAGGGTACTGATCATGGATGAGGCTACAGCAAATGTGGATCCAAGGTAAGGATAAGTGTTTCCTAATAGACTTTTACAAAAAGGGTTTGCAAATGGTTACAGTTTTGGGTGCTATTGTTTTTACAAATTCATATTCGCCAAAAACCCTTTATTTTTTGGAAAGTCTGCAAATTCCTAAAACCTTGGGTAAAATGTACATATTTGTGATGTGATCAAGCTGAGTTGTTTGTCAGGAATTTTCATTTGGAGATTCAGGCCAAATTAGGGCCACTTCATCACATCACTTCATCACATCTCTTGGTGTTCCGACTTCCGTAATTTTTGAACTAAAGATTGTATCAGTATGCAGTGTTTACAGCAGTAATGCAGAGATTGTGCTCTTTTCAAATCTGTAAAAAAAAATTTGACCAGGATCGACAAAAGACTCATTTACCTTGATCCATCACATTCGAGATTTCTGAGCAAATTTTCTTGATAAACCTTTTTTAAGAGTTCGATGATAACCAGTTCCTATGTGAGTAAAATAATTTCCTTTTGGGGGGGAACTGCAATGAGCCATTTTCTTAGGTAACATGATTTTTACACTTGGTTAATCTCATTCATTTCAAATTTTGTATTTTTGCCAGGACTGATGCCTTGATCCAGAAGACGATACGAACCAAGTTCCTGAATTGCACTGTACTCACCATAGCACACAGGCTTCACACCATCATGGACAGCGATCGTATCATGGTGAGATACTCTGTCACATACAGTCACAGATACCATCACAGACACTTTCACAGACACAGTCACAGACATAATGACAACCAAGTTCCTGAATTGCGTTGTACTGCATCATCGTTAATCACAAAATCATGTTCAGTCAAAAACAGCATCACAAACTGTCACAGATACAGTCATAATCAAGTAATCCGAAGTCATCACGAGTCACTAACAAGAACAAGTTGTCAAGTGACAAAGACATTCTTTATCCAAAAAAAAGTGTCCGTCTGACTATTTTAAAAATAACTACAAAACCATGAGGTCAATTTTGAAAAGTTCGGGTTGTGCAGATACTCCTAAGCCTTGGCCTCAAAAGGGCTGTTGTTGGGATTGGAATCATTTGCCTGGCTATCAGTCAGCATGGCAAGATATCAGTTTAATGCTCAAGGGCAAATGATTCAAATCCTAAATCCCATCAGCCTTTTTCCTCGACGTGCAGGATTTTACACAGCTTACATAACACAGCACTGAAATTGATTGAGGCGTGGAACTCAGTCACAGTGTCCCAAAATGTTGTTGTACTCAATTGGCAATTGTGCAGTGATGGGTGACTGAAATTAAATGAAACTCGTAGGGGTTGAGGCAAAGGCTAAGAAGTATCTGCACAACCAAAAATTTTCAAAATTGACCTCATGGTTTTGTAGTTATTATAAAAACAGTCAGACGGACCCTTTTTGGGGGACATACTGTATATGGAATGAACTTGTGATTGAGTTGACATTTATTTTTATTTCCTTTTTTTTGTGTGGTCATTGTAGGTCTTGGATGCTGGTGAGCTTATTGAGTTCGATCAGCCTCACACCTTACTCCAGCGAGCAGACAGTATGCTGAGTAAACTGGTGGAACAAACTGGCAAGGCGGAGTCATCGGATCTGATGGAGGTGGCACGGAAACACTTCAAGATACGGAGGGTGACTGGAGTGAATAATGTCTCCTTCGCTAGCCCAGAGGAACTCACCGTCGAGGGGTGAGTAGTGGAATGGATGGACAGAGTTGTTGAAGAGTCAAGCGCAAGTTAAATCACAAGACAATCACAAGTCAATCACAAGTCAATCACAAGTCAATCACAAGTCAATCACTAGTCAATCACAAGTTAATCACAAGTCAATCACAAGACAATCACAAGTCAAATCACAAGTAAATCACAAGTCAAATCACAAGTCAATCACAGGTGAAATCACAAGTGAAATAACTAGTCAATCACAAGTCAAATCATAAGTCAGGTTACAAGTAACATGGACAGACCAGGATAATGACCTTTTCATATTATGTTGGAGTAACTTCCAGCTTTACTTTAATGACTTCTGATTGATCTGTGATTGACTTATCATGATTGTGTATTTTGCACATCAAACCTGTCTTTGGTTGAGAATCAGGAAGAGCCTTCTACTTGTCAAAATTGTTCAGTTAGTAATATTTGTTTGGCCACTATTTTTATAAGTGCAACATCAGGGTGTGAACTATGTAGCTGAGTTGCTGCTTTTGAGGTACTTTATTTAAAATTTAACCTTATAACAGAATAGTGCCCAATATTTTGCCTAATAAACACGTCTAAGGAGATGTCATGATAGATTGTCAATTGAAGTTAGAGTTTCATTTTCTTGATTCTTGTATAGGTACCAGCAACAGCTACATAACTGGGGAGCAGCAGACTTGTCGACTGGAGCCAAAGCAATAGAATCTGTAGGCATGCAGGTAAGAACAATTGAAACGATCAGGAGAGTACAGATTTGCTGGAAGAAATGCAGTCTCCTCAACTCCAGCTGAAGCAATAAAGACGCTGACTATCTTCACATTTATGACCTTGCCACCCGAAATCGTTCACAGTGTTTGCTTTTATAAATCTGTCTTCAACCTTTAAGTCTGACAACGCTTTTTCTGACAACTAATTTACAACATCTGCACTTGTAAGGAGAAGGTCATGGGTTCAAGTCCCACCCAAGCAAGCTTGTGATTTTCTTTTATGCAAGCTGTCTAACAGCACTGTTCAAAACATCGAGTTAGAACAACTGGTTTTCTCATAACCACACAACTCAAAAGAGACGATATTCACATGGTGTTACTGCAAACCTTTCATACTTTGACTATATAGTACTTATAAAATTATGTTGGCGAAGGGCAATAACCCAATATGAAAATGTTAACATTTTATTTCATGATTTGTTTCCTAGACGGAGCCATTTGACTATCATACGGTCCTCTTGCCCAAGACGTCGGAGGGCTTTGGGTTTTCCCTGGCCGGGAGTACGGACAATCCCTACATGCCAGTGTTTGTGGTCCAGGTCGTAGAGGACTCCCCAGCTAGCTTCCCTTATGCACTTCAGGTCAGTAGTCCTTGGATCGACTGTACACCTCAGTGGGCAATTCTGAGCAAAATTTGAGTAGCTAGGGGAACATGTTTGTGATTGGGACACAAAAAAATAAGACAAATGGGGCATCAGTGGGATGAGATGGCCTAGCGGTTAAGAACACCGGACTCATGCTCTGGTGTTTCTGAGGCAACAGTGGCGTGGGTTCAAGCCCGGGCCCGGACACTTGTGCCCTTGAGCAAGGCACGTAACCATTATTGCTTCGTCTTCGGATGAGACGCAAAGCAGTAGGTCCCGTGTGTTGTATAAGGCCTAACGCACGTAAAAGAACCCAGTAACGCTTATCGCTAAGAGAAGGGGTTCGCCCGGGTGTTTCTGGCAGTTATCCTCATACATACACCATGAGGCTGTACGCGATAGCCACACCAGGCGTTTGTACATAAGCTAACAGATACAGATACATCGATATGCTAAATAATGCTATATTTTTTTGTTGTCACAGGTTGGGGATGAAGTCGTATCGGTCAACGGTCACGACCGTAGCAAACTGACCTACGTGGACATCTGCCAAATGGTCAAGGAGAGCAAGGAGCGTGTCCAGTTAGTGGTCAAGCGACGCTGCAACACCAAAATGACCACTATGTCATTCGGGAATGATCAGAAGGGAAAAGGAGAGAGGAGTGAAAAAGATAGCAAGGAAATTAAGGTGAGTGAAAAAAAAATGTTTTTTGAGTGATCAGGTAAGTAAGGACTTCCTGCATGAATAGTAAAGGCGATCATGCCGATCTCCATAAAAGGAGTTTTTAGCACTACACGTGCGAAGCACATGCCATAACATAGCTAAAGGGGTGTTTCACAAAACATGTGGCAAAATTGTTGAACAAAATCGTCGAAAAATTGTGAGCTTTTGACTTGTTTTTACTTTTTGAGAGAAAGGTATTTATGAATGGGTATAAATATGTGCTCAGGCGGTATTAAACAAGTACGTTTAAAGCCGGCTAGGGGCGTAAGTCCTAAACGGTTCTAAATGTACTTGTTTAAAACTGGCCAAGCACATGTTTATTCCTGTAATATTAGTTAAATCAAGGCTTCCGAGGTTGTACATTGCTTATTACTAGTTCCAAGACAAACAAATTTAACAATCAGTGTTTTCTTGTTGGTTGTAGGCATCACCCTCCACAAAAAGAAAACCAAGTCCCACCCAGGAAAATATGGAACAGGCCAGCGATGACACGGTCTCCAGTGGAACATCCTCCATGGTGTTTGCCAATGAAGGATTTGAGGACACTCCACTTGCTGCGATAGGGGAGTCCCCCGACAATACCAGTGGAGGGGCAAACTCTGCAGATGACATTCAAGTCAGCATATCCACGTCTTCCGATTCTTCCGAAGAGGCTGCCGACACAAAACTGTGAGACCTTTAAAACGTTTCAACTTGTTTTGGTGTCACTGATTTTTAAGTTAGTTTGTGTTGTACTTTTCTGCCATATTTTTGTGGCGCTAATTTATATAAGATTGGCTGTTCAATAAGACTCGATAATATTTTAATATATTTGTAAATTAACTCTGGCATTGTTCAAACTCACATCGGTAGCTTGCCTCGGTGAGCATTTATTACATTTGTCAGAATGTTGGAGACGGGAATTTTCAGGCTGATTTAACTTTTCCAGGGTTTTTAATTCCTTCTCACTGTTTTCATTGTTCTGACATGATTCATGTCAACTTTTAATTACAGTGAAATCTTGGTAAGTCAAACTCTGATAACTAAAACAACTGTTAAGTCAATTAAAGAATCCATTGCCTTCAGTAGTATAACAATGATATACAACCCTGCTTAACTCAAAACTCTGCTTAAGTCAAATTTTAAACCTGTTCCCTTGAGGTTTGACTTATCGAGATTTCACTGTAAGTGGTTTTTTTTTTTTGTGATGTGGTTCCTACACAGAACTGTTCTAACGGTAATCGTTACTTTTAGGACCCCGCTCCTACAACGTTACAAAAGACTCACTTTCTTCTGCTCAATTTTGAAACTTATTACAGAATGCGTATTATTTCAAAATTTGGGATTTCAGCCTTGGGAATCGTCATATTTTACTTACTGGATTTTTTATCATTTCGTAATGGACCTGGGGAGAAAACATTCTTACCAGTTCGGCAGTAGAACACGCGTGAAGCGGTACATGCTGTGCTTGTCCCTGTCATGACACAATGAAAGCCCGATGCTGATTACATCATTAAAACATATTTTTTTATCAGCCAATCAGCATTGAGCTTTCATTGTGTTCGGCACTGTCGCCATCTTGGTTGTCGTCGTCTTTTACCCCATAATTTCCCTAATAAATCAAAGCCCTGCCCTCTTTCCACAAAATTAAACCTGCTGATATTCAAGAAGGTGTCATTATCAGCTGTTCAGATGTGTCAAAAAATATCAGAATGAGTGCCATTGAGTCAGCTGTTTTGTGAGTCTTTTAATATAGGAACGGGGTCTTAAAGATGACGCTTTCTGCAGATTATTCAGTTTGAGTTAAACTTGTTCCTTGTTTCAGTTTTTGTGTTCACATACGCATGCTATTTCAATTAACCAAGTTAAGTTAATATGTTACATCTTTGCAAAGCGTTATTTCGCTGTTGGTGTTCTGTTTAAGATGTTAAGCTTAAATTGTTTGACATGTTTTTAATTCAAATTTATACTCCTTAAATTTGTACAATTTCAGTTTCATTTTTGAAGAATTCCTGAAAGGATTTTCTAACTTTAAAATTAAAGAAGTTACCTAGCAAAAAAAAAGTTTGATTTGTGTTCTTTGAATTGAATATTAATTGTTGAATATATAAATATATTTTTTCTCTAATTTTATATTAGCGCATTAGCAAAAGACAATAGAACGGTGTGAATTTCAAAAGGCTGAAAAATAATATATAGCTAAGTCCCGTGTAAATAAACAATAATCTGAAATATGATTTGTATAAATAAATAACTGCCTGTAAACAGCTGTGTTCCAGACAACAACACAATTCAGACTGGTTCAATGGAGCTGTAAACTAAAATCAGGAAATTTGCTGAATACATACAAGTGTAGTTTGGTTACAGGTAAGGATGTTAAAAGTAACTTGTTCCCTGTTTGCTTAGCATGTAACTTTTCTGCTAAGTAACATTTTTTTCTGCTTAGAGGTCATCATGAATTATCAACATTTTACCAAAACGTACTCTTTTTTACAGACCTCCTTCCCCTCTCTGAACAAAAATACTTTAAAAAATTTTGATCTTCAAAGTTCCTGGAACGACCAGGTCATTCATAGCGCTTGGATTAGTTATGGAATATTAGCATCAGGGTGGGCAAGGCATACGTGTGCCTTGCCTATCCAGACGCACACAAGGCGCTTGCCATACGCGCAAATGTTCGCAATTCATCCCCACAAAAGTGGCGGCTGAAAAGGGCTGCAACGTGTATGTTTGTCACCGGCGCGTGGTGGCACGTAGTAGCACGTAGTAGCACGAAGCTGAATGACAAAAATAGCTGCGCCCGTAAATCGCGAGCTTGTCTGGAGTTCGCCAAGTTGATGAGGTGTCGGCTTTTTTTATGAAAGATCTTCTGAAAGCCATTACAAAAAAATACTAAAGCAACAACATTTATCGACATTTTAACAAACTTTCAAAAGCGTACATGGGTCGGTAACCCCCTCCCCTGAGCATACGTTTGGTACGCTTTTGAAAATGTTGATAATTGACTCCTTAGCAGGTCTATGAGCTAATTATGGAAAGTTCTCATAATTTGAAAGGGTTTGTAGCTAAAGTGTCTGAAAAACTTGAGACACATGCTTGTGTAAATGTTAAATATCAGTTGGCTTTTTTTAATATCATTTACACAGAATATAGAGCAAATATTGCTATACTAAATTACACAGATCAATGCTAGAATACAAACTGCGTAATTTTAATTTTATATACAATCCTTGAGACATATATAGATGAATAATAAAAGTGCCATTTTGTATTTGAAAGTAACATTGAAATAATTTCGACCCATGTCATTTTGTAGTTTGTGCTTGTAGTTTATTTACAATAGTAGGTAGTTTTCAATTATATTTCATAATTACCTTTTTACAAAATGAGGATTTTGAGATTATCCGACATTATTAGGTGCATAACTTCAAATCCTCAAAAAGTTGAATATAACAGCTTTAGAACTACATCAAAAAGAGGGACGATTACAATTATTAAAAGGTATCAAATTGAATTGGGAAGAAAAATCATTTTAAAATCGCACCTTTTTACAGGGTCAGTCAAAAAAGCGGAACCCAGAAAATTATATTTCATATTTAAAAAAATAGGTATAAAATACTGAAATCACTCAATCCGTTCAAAGAATATCACCAGTTAAACACAATGACCCTAAAACCTCTTTCGTCCAAAATTGCGATTTCAAGAATCGTCGTCACAATTGTCAAACATCACCAGCGATAAAAACCTCAGTTTAAAAGTATTCAACGAAGTCCTTTTGAATTTGAAGGCCCGTCTTTTAAAAAAAGTGGATGTTATAAATCATATTGTTTGCTTAACCAGGGTTGTTAATAAAGCTATTGTGGACTACAGTTGTTGACAGTTTTTGAAACAAGTATTCTGTGTCATTTTCTTTGTTGTTCCAAACAGTAAGAATACACAATAAATTGCTTTTTTTGGACGAAACAGGCGTTAGGGTCATTGCGTTTAAATGGTGATATTCTTTGAACGGATTGAGCAATTTCAGTATTTTTTTTCATCTAAAAGTAGATATTAGCTTTTCAGTCATTATTATTTTTGTTTAATATGAAATATATTTTGGGGGATTTGGGTTCCGCTTTTTTTGACTCGCCCTGTATAAAGATAAGTAAATGTACTTTATAAAAACTCTAATAAAAGCCTTGAATTCAAACTTCCTGCCTACCAATACCTGACCCTGGTATAACAGGAAAATGTCCCCAACAACAAAAATGCCTATAAATAGTCATGCTGCTAGCTTCATAAATAAAAGGGTTAGATCATACTCTTTCAACGTACAATACATGTATTCCCTTTCCAATAAAATATGAAAAGAGAGTGAAAGAAAGTTGAAATATTCATAAGAATCGTTAACTGAAAGTTTCAATCGAGACGAGTTGTTATCTCCCATTTTCTCAGAAAGTCTGTCCATCTTTGTTAATAATCGACCATAACATCCCGTGAAACAGTTCCTTGCTTAAAAAATACCTCATCAGGGAGAAGCCGTGGTATCCTCCCTGCTCGCCAAGACGTCCTCCCTTCTCTCCACCAACCCATCGCAGTCATCCCCAAGGAACCCAAACTGTCTCAAGGCGGCCCTGAACCCACCGAGCAGATACCCCTCCTCCTCGAGCTGTCTCAGCTTGCATCCCGAAGATTCCTTGGGGAGCGGTTTCAGGATGAAGTTAGCCTTGGTCGGACGGTATCTCCGGACTGGTACCACCACGGTCTTGGGTTTATACCCGCGGGCGTGGACAGTCACCGTGTACACACCCGGTAGAAGCAAACGCCAGTAATCGCCATTAGTAGCTGCAAATACGAGAAACAAAATAAACTGTATTAATATTTTAAAAAAATCAAAGGTCGTAGGTTCAAAGCCCATCAGTTAATTTCGGTTTTTTTCATTCAATCTTATCTGGATTAAAATGGACTTTGTTATTAGTTGTGGTTATTTGATCAGTTTTAATGCAGGCCCACTTTCCAATTTATAATCGCCACCAGAAGCTGAAAATACTGGGAAATATAATTAGTTTCTATAGGAAGTTGCCTTCCAGAGGTCGCGTGTTCAAATCCCACCTGGGTCAACTTTTTGTTTGACCTTATCTTCCGAGTAAAGTGAGCATGCAAACACAAATGCAATATTTTGCTACTTTTTGGAAAGGTTGGGTTGTTCCAGGTGTACTTCCTTCACCTTTGTCCTGGGTTTGAATCCCACCTGGATATGAATGGATATTCTCATTTTTTTTTCAAGGGATTCTTTCTATTTCCTTATTTTCCGAGATATTTGTTGACAATTCATCCCCGTTGTCTACCGTTGACCTTCTTTGCTTTTTCAGATATGTGTTGAACCCTTTTACCAGAACGGACTTTTTTATGTACCGGTATTATACGTATATATGTATAAAATGCCTAACAGCGTTTCAGTCGCGGCCATGCTAATGCAGCGAACCATGCACATGTTTTGTGACTCAAGGACTGTATACACAGCACTTTTTAGTTCGACTTCAAATTTGTTTGTTCGAGCAAAGGACGTACTGCTATAGGGTTATCGTTTGGTAGAGGTCAAATTGCAAAACTGCTCGACAGTGTGTGAACATGTAGTACGTGTACATGGATTTGTGTTGTGTAAAACCTCTCCATGTACAAGTTCATTCTACAACGTCAAACCACACGCATAGAATTTTAAGCTGAATTATTTCACGACTTTGACAGTGGTGATTACACGGTGACTTTGCAGATTGGGAGTTGTGTGTAAGTGGAACACACTGACCAGTCAAAATGACACTATCTAACTTTTTCTTAGACGTTCGCACTGTGCTGTTGGGCTTGTTCATCCTGCTGGTTCTTCGCTGGTTCTTTAAGAAACCAATTAGAAACCTCCCTCCCGGCCCCTGGCGGTTTCCAATCCTCGGTTCCGCCCCAGCCATCGTTTCGGCCGTTTGGCGAGGCCTGGAACCCCACGACCTCTTTGTGGCATACGCCGCCAAGTACGGGCCCGTGTTTCGCCTGAAGGCCTTCACCAAGACTGTGATAGTTCTCAGTGACTACCCCTCCATCAAGGAAGCGTTCCAGCATCCGGAGCTAAGTGACAGGCCCAACACGCTCATCAGCGCAGTGACGAAGACAAACGGGGTCGTATCGGCCTCGGGGGAACTGATGATTGAACTTCGCCGGTTCTGTCTCACGGTTCTCCGGAGCTTCGGGGTGGGCAAGACGAGCTTCGAGGAAAAGATCGGCACAGAAGCTGAAGAACTGATGAAGGAGATGTCTTCGTTTGACGGGAAGCCCTTCAACCCGAAGCGTCTACTCAGCAACGCCGTCTCCAACGTCATCTGTTCGGTTATCTTTGGCAAGCGGTACGAGTACACAGATCAGAAGTTCCAGAACCTTTTGGATCTGATAAGTCGCAACATCAAGCTTCTTGGAGCAGGAGGTGTCTTTTTCTTCATCCCCGGGCTTCGATACTTGCCCTTTGGGAAATTCAAGCAGATGATCTCCAATATCCAAGAGAGTGAGAAATTTGTTGTTGACATCATCGAGGCCCATCGCGCTGAATTCGACCCGGAGAACCTCAAGGACTTCGTCGATGTCTACCTGAAGGAAAGCCAACAGAATCTAAACAATGAACCTGGGGCTCCAACTAGCAAAAGCTCTAGTTCGGCTGCTCGTAGCCACCTCAATGACAGCAACTTTGTGGGAACCATAAGGAACCTCTTCATAGCAGGTTCTGAGACCACGGCTACCACACTGCAGTGGTGTCTCCTTTACATGATGATGTTCCCTGAGATCCAGCATCGAGTTCAAGCCGAGATCGACGCCGTGGTCGGTCGCAACCGGCTGCCCAGGATGGCCGACAAACGAGACCTCAACTTCACCCAAGCGGTGATCTGGGAGGTCCAACGCCTAGCTTGCATCGCACCCCTGGGCATCCCACACACAGCTGCTTCAGACACCCACATCCACGGTTTCACGATTCCCAAAGGCGCCATTCTCGTCCCAAACCTGTGGGCACTCTTTCGAGACCCCAGAGTCTACCCAGAGCCAGACCGGTTCAACCCTGAGAGATTCCTAGACAGCGCGGGGAAGGCGGTCAAGCCAGACGAGTTGGTACCCTTCAGCGTGGGTCGACGTAGCTGCATCGGGGAGCACCTGGCGAAAATGGAACTCCTCATCTTCTTCAGTTACTTCTTGCATCAGTTTACCTTCAAGAAACCTGACAACTCACCCCCGTTGTCTCTGAAGGGAAAGGGCGGCATAACTTACTCACCAGAGCCGTTTGAGCTCTGTGCAGTCAAGCGTGAGTAAAACAACACGCTGACCACGCATGAGTTGCTCCCTGGAGCATCCATCTCAACTTCTTGGAGGCAACATGACTTGCGTATACGTTATGCAATATGATGGCTCATCAGTCACCTCTCATTATGGTTGTCATTAACTCGCGTATGTAAATAGATCGACAATAAATAACGTGCACCAGCGAACGGTGGTACGGGTACATAGGCAAAGTTATTATTGAAGCACCCTCGTGTATGAGTTGAATGAATTAACCAAAAAAAAGAGAATGTTTTTAATTCAGTCTCCTCTACATTTTGGGTCAAGCTTTATAATGGATAGTACGTTAATTCTGAGTATTCTGAATTTCTGATGCAAGGTTTTGTAATGCAATTGTCAATACGGACATGGGTAACTAATTTTGCTGTGGAAATTATGTCTTATCATTAATTTAAGCCAAATAGAAATTGGAACATTGAAATAATTTCAACCCATGTCATTCTGTAGTTTGTGCTAGTAGTTTATTTACAAAAGTAGGTAGTTTTTAATTATATTTCATAATTACTTTTTTACAAAATGAGGATTTTGCGATATTATTAGGTGCATAACTTCAAATCCTCAAAAAGCTGAATATAACAGCTCTAGAACTACATCAAAAAGAGGGACGATTACAATTATTTAAAGGTATCAAATTGAATTGGGAAGAAATATCAATTGAAAATCGCTCCTATTTACAGGGTGAGTAAAAAAAAAGCGGAACCCAAACCCCAAAAAATATATTTCATATTTCTAAAAATATGCAGTACCAAAAATAATGACTGGTAAGCCAATTTCATAATCTATTCAAGATAAAAAAAATATTGAAATTGCCCAATCAGTTCACAGAATATCATCATTTAAATTTAATGACCCTAAAACCTCTTTTGTCCAAAAATGCGATTTAAAGAATGGTCGTCACAATTGTCTTCAAAAATCACCAGCGATAAAACTTCAGTTTTAAAAGTTCAAAGTATTCAACAAAGTCCTTTTGAAGGGTCGTCTTTTTTTTTTAAGTGATGTTATAAATCATATCGTTTGCTTAACCAGGGTTGTTAATAAAGCTATTGTGTACAACAGTTGTTGACACTTTTTGAAACAAGTATTCTGTGTCATTTTCTTTTTGTTCCAAACAGTAAGAAAACACAATAAATGGGGGGGGGGGGGTTGGACGAAACAGGTTTTAGGGTCATTGCGTTTAAACGGTGATGTTTTTGAACGGATTGAGCAATTTCAGTATTTTTTTTCATCCAAAAGTAGCTTATGAAATCAGCTTTTCAGTCATTATTATTTTTGTTTAATATGAAATATATTTTGGGGGTTTAGGTTCCGCTTTTTTGGCTCACCCTGTATAAAGATAACTAAATGTACTTTATAAAACTCTAATAAACTCCTTGAATTCAAACATTGTGCCTTCCAATACCCGACCCTGGTATAACAGGAAAATGCCCCCCCCCCCCCCCCCCCCCCCGCCTAACAAAAATGGCCATAAATAGTCACGCTGCTAGCTTCATAAATACAGGTTTACATCAGACTCTTTCATTGTACAATACATGTATTCCTTTTCCAATAAAATATGAAAAGAGAGTGAAAGAAAGTTGAAATATTCATAAAAATCGTTAACTGAAAGTTTCAATCGAGACGAGCTGTTATCTCCTATTTTCTCAGAAAGTCTGTCCATCTGTGTTAATAACCGACCATTACATCCCGTGAAATAGTTTCTTGTTTCTAAGGTTCCTCATCAGGGAGAAGCCGTAGTATCCTCCATGCTCGCCAAGACGTCCTCCCTTCTCTCCACCAACCCATCGCAGTCATCCCCAAGGAACCCAAACTGTCTCAAGGCGGCCCTGAACCCACCGAGCAGATACCCCTCCTCCTCGAGCTGTCTGAGTTTGCATCCCGAAGACTCCTTGGGGAGGGGTTTCAGGATGAAGTTAGCCTTGGTAGGTCGGTATCTCCGGACTGGTACCACAACTGTCTTGGGTTTGTACCCGCGGGCGTGGACAGTCACGGTGTACACACCCGGTAGAAGCAAACGCCAGTAATCGCCATCAGTAGCTGCAAATACGAGAAACAAAATAAACTTCTTAAATAAAATGTGTCATTTCGCTACACAACACTGCCTCCAATGTAGATATCCAGCTAAGATTCAAAAGTAACCTGAAGCGTTTCATTTGCTTTTGAAAGAAACAGAATAGATGATAAAGATTTCCAAAAACTGTATCTTAAGAATAACGCCATTTCTAAAATTGCACAGAACAAGCTTCCTTTGCTTACTGACCTGGTTTGTTTGTATTTTTCTTGCTGATTGAATTTTATTCTAAATATCTTTATTTTTTAAGATTCATGTGAATCTCGGTTTTTTGTACATACCTTGTAGATATTTGTTGCACATGTACAGACGTTTATTTCCTTTCCATTTTTGGGGGTTCCCTAATTTTTTGCTCTTTCATAATTTAGAAATATTTTAGGATACGTAGAAGTACAATGTATAATTAATTCTTTCGCATGATTCATTTTGTTCAATTTCCCTGCTCCTTATTTACTCTGTTTACAGATTTGTTGTTTTATGTTTCTTCTTTGGAATAGCTGATTGACTTTGACATTTCCATTTGAGAAATATATGTATTTTTTTTTCAGAGGTCATAGGTTCAAAGCCCATTCCAGTTACTTTCGTTTCTCAGATTCGTCATACAATTTCATCTGCATTAAGATGAACTTTGTTACTAGTTGTGGTTTATTTGATCAGTTTTAATGCAGGCCCACTTGCCAATAAATAATCGCCACCAGAAGCTGAAAATATAACCACGGTCCGTGAAAATAGAATAAGTTTCTATTGGAAGTTGCCTTCCAGAGGTCGCATGTTCGAAGCCCACCTGTGTCAACTTTTTGTTCGACCTTATCTTCCGAGTTAAGTAAACCTAGTATGTTTTCCTGAATGGTCGAGCATGCAAACACAAATGCAATATTTTGCTACTTTTTGGAAAAGTTGGGTTGTTCCAGGTGTACTTCCTTCACCTTTGTCCTGGGTTTGAATCCCACCTGGTGCAACCTATGAATGGATATTCTCATTGTTTCAAGGGGTTCTCTCTATTTCCTTTTCCCCCCAGATATGTCTTGACAATCCCCCCCCCCCGGTGGCCAACCGTTTTCCTTCTTTGCTTTTTTAGATATGTGTTGAACCCTATTATGTATTATAAATATATGTATAAAAATGCCTACAGCGTGTCAGTCGCGGCCATTCTAATGCATCGAACCATGCACATGTTTTGTGACTCAAGGACTACCGGTATGTAAACGGCACTTTTTTAGTTCGACTTCAACTTTGTTTGTCCGAGCAAGGACGTACTGTTATAGGGTTGTCGTTTGGTAGAGGTCAAATTGCAAAACTGCTCGACAGTGTGAACATGTAGTACGTGTACGTGTACATGTACATTCATAAGGGGATTTGTGTTGTGTAAAACCTCTCCATGTACAAGTTCATTCTACAACGTCAAACCACACGCATAGAATTTTAAGCTGAATTATTTCACGACTTGGACAGTGGTGATTACACGGTGATTTTGCAGATTGGGAGTTGTGTGTAAGTGGAACACACTGACCAGCCAAAATGACCCTATCTAACTTGTTCCTAGACGTTCGCACTGTGCTGTTGTGCTTGTTCATCCTGCTGGTTCTTCGCTGGTTCTTTAAGAAACCAATTAGAAACCTCCCTCCCGGTCCCTGGCGGTTTCCAATCCTCGGTTCCGCCCCAGCCATCGTTTCGGCCGTTTGGCGAGGCCTGGAACCCCACGACCTCTTTGTGGGATACGCCGCCAAGTACGGGCCCGTGTTTCGCCTGAAGGCCTTCACCAAGACTGTGATAGTTCTCAGTGACTACCCCTCCGTCAAGGAAGCGTTCCAGCATCCGGAGCTCAGTGACAGACCCAACATGCTCATCAGCGCAGTGACGAAGACAAACGGGATCGTATCGGCCTCGGGGGAACCGATGATCGAACTTCGCCGGTTCTGTCTCACGGTTCTCCGGAGCTTCGGGGTGGGCAAGACGAGCTTCGAGTAAAAGATCGGCACAGAAGCTGAAGAACTGATGAAGGAGATGTCTTCGTTTGACGGGAAGCCCTTCAACCCGAAGCGTCTACTCAGCAACGCCGTCTCCAACGTCATCTGTTCGGTTATCTTCGGCAAGCGGTACGAGTACACAGATCAGAAGTTCCAGAACCTTTTGGATCTGATAAGTGGCAACATCAAGCTTTTGGGGGCAGGAGGTGTCATTGTCTTCATTCCCGGGCTTCGCTATTTGCCCTTTGGGAAATTGAAGGAGGTGATCTCCAATTTTCAAGAGACTAGGAAATTCGTTGGTGACATCATCGAGGCCCATCGTGCTGAATTCGACCCGGAGAACCTCAAGGACTTCGTCGATTTCTACCTGAAGGAAATCCAACAGAATCTAAACAATGAACCTGGGGCTCCGACTAGCAAAAGCTCTAGTTCGGCTCCTCGCAGGCACCTCAATGACAGCAACTTTGTGGGAACCATAAGGAACCTCTTCATAGCAGGTTCTGAGACCACGGCTACCACACTGCAGTGGTGTCTCCTTTACATGATGATGTTCCCTGAGATTCAGCATCGAGTCCAGGCCGAGATCGACGCCGTGGTCGGTCGCAACCGGCTGCCCAGGATGGCCGACAAACAAGAGCTCAACTTCACCCAAGCGGTGATCTGGGAGGTCCAACGCCTAGCTTGCATCACACCCCTCGGCATCCCACACGCAGCTGCTTCAGACACCCACATCCACGGTTTCACGATCCCCAAAGGCGCCATTCTCATCCCAAACCTGTGGGCACTCTTTCGAGACCCCAGAGTCTACCCAGAGCCAGACCGGTTCAACCCTGAGAGATTCCTAGACAGCGCGGGGAAGGCGGTCAAGCCAGACGAGTTGGTACCCTTCAGCGTGGGTCGACGTAGCTGCATCGGGGAGCACCTGGCGAAAATGGAACTCCTCATCTTCTTCAGTTACTTCTTGCATCAGTTTACCTTCAAGAAACCTGACAACTCACCCCCGTTGTCTCTAAAGGGAAAGGGCGGCATAACTTACTCACCGGAGCCGTTTGAGCTCTGTGCAGTCAAGCGTGAGTAAAACAACACGCTGACCACGCATGAGTTGCTCTCTGGAGCATCCATCTCAACTTCTTGGAGGCAACATGACTTGCGTATACGTTATGCAATATGATGGCTCATCAGTCACCTCTCCTTGGTTGCCATTAACTCGCATATGTTAATACAGAACCAGCGAACGGTTGTACATAGACAAAGTAGCATCTTGGAAGTTGAAGGAATCGACAAAAAAAGAGAGGGTGTCCTAATTCAGTCTCATCTATACTTTGGGTCAACATTATTTTATGTTAAGGATAGTACGTTCATTCAGAGTATTCTGATGTAAGTTTTTAACGCATTTACTAATACGGACATCGGTAACTGATTGTGCTTTGGAAATGTGTTATCGTTATGCTAAATATATTTAATTTGGAATTATAGTTACTAAATCCTGTAGGCCTAATCTCATTCTTAACGTGTTTCTAGCAAAGCCATTTATACTTTTATTGCTAGTAGTTTTGCATTAATACTTTTGTGTACGTCTATTTTGTAACTAGTATTAGATTTATTTCCATCTAACTAAATTTTCAAACATATTTTATTTTCTTGGACTATCTAGCGTCAAAGAATCAGGTCAAGGCTGTGGAAGTTGGCATATTGTTGGTAGGTTGAAGAACATCATCTTTGATTGACTTCAGTTGACTTGGCAAACGGGCGGCTTATAAAACAAAGAACTTGGTGTATGGAACGGTCTTTTGATGAATGTTTAGCTAGAGTAACTCCAGCCCCAACGCTTATCAGGAATTTGACATTTTATAGAGCAAAAACGGGACTCTCGGTATCGGTATAACAAAAAAATGGTCCTTTTTATTAATTCCATCCCAGATTCCAAACAAAATGAGGTATGTTTAATGGAATCTGGGATGGGATACTAGAGTGAAAAAATACCATTTTTGTGACGGATACAGCGAGTCCCGTTTTTAGGGCCTCTTAGAATCTAATATCTACAACATACTTTTAGCTCCAGCTGTATATGTCAAATTCCCAATGAGATACTTTTGATTCAACTTTGCACGATTTTCTTCTCTTTGATCCGTGAAACCTGCTCCTCAACTCTTCACTTTGATTATCCTGCCGCGTTTAATTTCCGGACTGCAGACACGTAACAAAACGCCATGGACGTCACTCCCAGGGCAAATATTCCCCAAGAAAGTCCCTACCCTGTAGGGTTGTCTTACCCGTTGTGACATCGTGAGCAATGCTAGGCCCCGTCACCCTTATCACGGCATTTGCTATGGGATTTCTGTCTGTGTCCATCACCTGGCCTTTGATGCCTATATGCACCTGTTTGAAACAATCAATTAAAAGTGAAATGCTGGCAGTTAGAAAAAAATAGGGTGATGACGCGATGATGCGCTGTAATTTTGTTTCTCCGTGTGTTTAGACTCTTATGCAGATAATGGAGAAATTTGTCATAATCTGTATTAATATTTGTAAAAATTATTATAACTATAGCATTTGAAAAACAGAACGAAACTGTTATCATTGTATAATAATCTAGTGTTCAAGGCATACGGCAAGAAGACTGTCATTACACAATTTTAGCAAATTTTGTTGTTCAATTTTGTGAAATATCCCAAATTTTTAGTTTTCATATACAATAGATTCAATGGTAACCGTGTATATTTACAAACTCTTGTTTTATTAAACCATTTTAAGGTCATGCTTATTTAAACCATTGTGAATGTCATCTGGAGCTCTTGCAATGTAATATTTTGCTTCTTGGAAAATTGCTTGGTTGGACGGGGTGTTTCTGGAACAAGATTTGCTATAACCAGTTGCTGTTGGATCGGCGGTGGGTATATGCACCGTCAAAAATATGCCTAATACTTAAAGGGAAAATACAACATTTGCAAACATCAAAAAATAAAACTACCAAATCATTTTGAAATACCTTGCTGGACTGTTAGTAAATGACAGTGTAAAGCATCCTGTAAAATCATGGCACCTGGTATACTGTCATTTTCAAAAAAATTAGTGGTATTTTTGTATCAATTTCCAACGCTGATCGGCCGATCAGCGTTGGAAAAAAAATTGGCTTTTTTTCAAATACTGGCCCCAGTTGACCATCGCACTTGTTTGCAATCGATTACACACCTATGAACGGGTACAAGCCAGCTAGACTGGTTCCCTGACCTTACAATTCCCTAATATATGTAAACTGCTCTGTTTCTTCTAATAAATGGAATCAGGGAACCAGACTACAGGAAAATGATTGGTTTTCTTGGTTTTTATAGCATTTTCGAACCCAAAACCTCAAAAAAGTCAGTGTAACTATATTTGCTATATATTTCCAACCCCCCAATTCCATCCATTTCTGAAAATTACAGCAAAAGCAAATGATGTATATTCCCTTTAAGGAATAAGAGCGCTGTGTTGACCCAATTTGAGGTGCATATTCAGACGTGAATCAAAGGTTATTGGCGTTAGTGTACACATTTTAACATATTCACAATCTTCACTTTTCAAATGTATATAGAGTTACTAAACTGCTTCGATAAACACGATTTGCTAGTACTATGTGAGCCAAGAAAATGACATCGTAATATGACCGATTCCCCAATTCAGTTTCTCTTCTCTTTATGATTGTATTTCTCTATCCTCAAAACCCAACTCCCTTTCCCCACCGACTCCTTTTCTCACCTTGTCTATATACTCAATCAAGGATTCCCTGTTGTCCTCCCACTTTCTTTTTAGCTCCTCCTCCCGGGGGAACTTGTCGCACCCAAGCTCCAGTGTGATATCGAAGCAGTTGCTGGAGAGATAGTTGTAATCTTGCATCCCTAAGATTCGACGAATTGGAGATACACTGAGTCAAGTAAGTATCTTCGGAAATAATCATTTTAAGACGTTGTCCACACAAAAATCAAGCGTTTTTTTCACAGTGTGTGAAGTGTAGTGCGCTACCGTCAAAAAAACCAATAGGGTTCATGAGAATTTTCTGACGTCATCTTGTGTATGCGCAGTTAGTTCGCTGTCGCCAAAACAACCAATAGGGTTTGTGGGACATTTCTGACGTCATCTTGTGCATGCGCGCGCAACAGCAAAGTGCATCCAACCTTTATTTCTCCATTGTGACTTTTTATCGTAAGCGGATGCTTACTAAATTTTTTAAGGAAGCACAAATTAACCTCACCTCCGGACACGATGTACCAATCGGCCCCGTTGGTCACACCGTCTCGGAACACCTTAGCCCCCTGGAACCGACAAGGCTCCGCCCTGGTAGCCATCGTGCGGTGATACAGCGAGTAAGTCAGGGCCAACTCGCGGAACAGGTTATCGTCGGGCGTGGCCGAGTACATCTTACGGGTGTTACGGCTCTTGTCGTACGGGTAGTTGGCTACCAGGTCGCCGTCGTGCATGTTGGCGGAGAGGACGAAAGGGTACTGAGCCATCCAGTCCATGATGGCTTGGGTCTCGGGTTGGCGACCCTAGGGTTGGGGTGGGGGTAGATTAGGGGTGGGGAAAGAATCGTTTCCGACTTTTATTAATGCACTCACATGCAAGATTCTTAGGCCATTTTCTGTCCTATTTGTTTGGCGCTAAGAATGCTATTGCTTGGAAACTTTACGTGATAAGAAAAACATAACAAGGTGAAACAAGTCGCAAACAAAATACTTGCAGCTTTGCAAACTTGATTTTCAATGTGCTTGAGCCTTTTGTGTCCAGTCGATCTGAGCTCGGGCATCGTTATTTAAGACAAACTAACAAAGCTAGCATGTTAAAAATATACATAATATGGACACGTAAGTCTTGACAAATTTAATAAAAATGTCGGCAAAGATTGGTGTGCAAAATGTGCCAAGAGAACTGAACACAAGGGCGGATCCAGGGGGCCATGGCCCCTCCCAAAGGGGGCCATGGCCCCTCCCAAAACGAAACCATTTTTTTTATGTGACCTCGCAATAAAGGCAGGCAATGAGTACACCACCATCTTTTCCTCAAAAAAACATTGGTTAAAGTGGTCAGAAATTGACTCAAATCCCACCATGCCACAGAGCATCTAGAATCCAATTTTTTTTCGGAGCCCTTAAACGAGCCCCGAACCCCACGCCGTAATTTTTTTACCCACTTTTTGGGGGACCAAAAAAATTGTGTTCTGAATCCGCCCTTGGCTGAACATATGACGAGCGGACAGGGAAGAGTTTAATTGAAATTGAAGGGCGATACATCTTGGTTTCAACATTCGACTCAAACACCTTAAACCCCTGTCTCATATTTGATGACTTGGGTCCTTCTAGAAGTTCTACAAATTCCTGTGGCATTTTATCCACTTTTATATTAGATTTCCTAAGATAAACACATTTTCATTGCGAATTCCCATTGCACACAATGTATGTAAGTAATGTAACCCCGTGTAATTTTACCCCCATGCGGCATCAAGGGGGGCAAAACTCGATACAACATTCTCAATGCGGACTGCACATTCAAGCTCGCCGACATTGTGAACGCAGCACAAACTTGACTCGACACAAGTCTGTTTTTGATAAATCTTCATGACAAGTTTTCCTGATTTTTTTAACCAGCCAGGTCCTTCCTTGTCTGGTGATTACAAACACCCACGAGGCCACGGCCGGGTACGCGCGAGCTGTACCCGATAAATCATCATCTGACAAGAAAGCCTGGGACATTATTGTTCATCATGCCCTCGAGTTCTCCTAACCTATAAGGTTTTCAAAACCACGGTTTTGTTCCAGCTTCGGATCGAACAGATGTAGGCCATGCATGACTTCGGAAACTCTGGCTCAATGCAGCTACATGTTCTCCTCTATATTTGGCCAATTTTGACAGTACAGGCCTATCCAATTGGTTTAGGCATTAATTAAAGCATATAAGATCATTTGCTTTTCATGCATTTTGTTCGTTTCCAATAATAACACCACTCAATATCCAAGGAAGAATGTTCAAAACATAATCTGTTGAATTTTCAGCTCAGTGGATGGATATTATACTTTTCGAGAAAACAGTGGGGGGATGCACAACCTTTTGATCACGAAACACGATTTCGTCAATGGCACGCTGTATTTCCAAAAATCAGTCAATTGACTGATCGTTGGAAATCACCTACATTTTCTTGATTTATTCTAAGTGACAACAAGCACGATACGATTTCACGGGGTGTTTAGTACCAGTACGATCTGTAATCTATGTAAGCTTTTTGATAATAATTCGGTAGGTTACTTTTAAATGCAAATGATACATGCCTTTAACTTCAAAGTGATGGGGAAGCCTAAGCTGGAAACCATGCCGAGGTTTGGAAAAACCCAAGAGTAAGGAATAGGTCAAGGGTCATGACCCCGTCCCCGTCTGACCTAGGGTCGAAATAAATACAGGTCGGCGAATACAAAGTCATGTATAGGTATGTAGGTTGCGACCCAAGCCCTAAAACAAGAACCCTGTTAACCCAACGCTGTCAAAATAAACTGGAAAACTGCCCAGAATGTTCGCGAATATTCAGTGTCAGCGCTATGGAATATCAGTCAAAATGTGCACATGTTGTAGATAGAATTTGACAACGTCGTTCCCCATGGGTACGATCTTGCTGCGCCGTGTTGGTTCCAATCGGGCCATGCACGATAGTGAAGGAAGGCGCCCATGGAGTAGAGGCTGAGAATTTGAGGTCATGTTCATCCAGTATTTTTTGATGTAACATTTCCAGGCTATACAAAAATCCCTGCCTATTTCAGTGGGTTCGGTATAACGTTTAGCTCACTGATTTATATTTGGGGTATAAGTATTTTTATCTCTTTTTTTCTCACAATTTTCCACGTGTTTGTTATAAAAGTGGTTTTAGAACCGTACTATTTTCTAACGATTGACCATCAAGAAAACTCTTTATTTCCAAATTTAGAAAAAAATAGGCTGAAAATCGTCCGCATCTGAAGACTGAGAAATGCAACTGACAATCAGAGACGGTGTCCATTTTTTTGGGTCCAGTGAATGTGGCTCCCTGCGCACGCAAACGTCTTTTCCGAGGCCCCCTCCTTTCCAAATTCGAAACACGCCCTTCCACCTCTGCACAACACTCAACAACTTCCATCAGTTTAAATCGATGCGACCTTAACTCCATAGTTCGTAAAAAGTTATCAAGCAACTCGGCCTGTAGGGAACATCCGGTCACACTGGCACCGCGTCTCAACCTATCGGGCCACCTGGGAACAGGCATTTGCCATCGTGACGTCAAATGGAAACGATGAATCCAGGAGATATCGACAGAAAATAGAAAGATTCCTTGTTCACATTTCAACACAGGGAGTGCGCAATAAGCGATACCAGAGTAATATATAGTCAGTGTTAATATTCCCGAGCAAATAAATAAGATTAGAAGCAAGCTGAACTCTGTAATCGAAAGACCAAGCACTATATTAATAGTGGCGTAACTAAGGTTGAGGGGGGGGAGGAATGGGAACCACCAAGACCACCGCTTGAGGCCTGTGTCCCCTTGTGCCCCCTTATGCCGCCCCACCCCCTTGTTCCCCTTAATTGTGCCCCCCTTGTGCCCAGCACAGACGTGAACACAAAATATAATTGGGGCGGGGAGAGAAGATAAATGCGGGGAAAAAAATTGAAATTCCCCAGGTGAGGCTCGAACTCACAACCTCGGCATGTCACTGAACAGCCGCAGTGTACTGTCTTATAAGTACCGCGCGCTAACCGATTGCGCCACTGGGGAATTCACATCTTTCGTTGAATTCGAAATCGGTTTTGACATTTTGGAAAGGAAGATCAAGTCGAAACAAATAATTCGGAAGTATCCAGACGCCACTTCTTTAGTTGTGTACAAAGTCAGTATTGAGAATCGAGCGCATTTTGTAAGTATTTTCTAAAAAAAAAAAAATTGGAAATGTTTCTCAGTCCCAGATTCATGTCTTTTCATCATTTTTGCAATATTAACTGGCATTAGGTGAAAAGCAGTCTTTTTAAATATATATTTCAACCCTTGGTACCTTTTGTTCCCGTTAAATGAAGGTTTTCATAAGTATACTTCCAATTTTGTTTTGGATCTTAAAGCCTAATTATGTAGGATAAGTATAAAACTGAGACCTTTAAACTTATTTCCCTAAATGAAACAAGTTGAGGGCTTGCCGTTCAGATCCTAGCAGATATTTCTTCAGGCCCTCTATTTGCATTTTTTTTCTTTCGGGCGGGGGTTCCCCACCCGTTCAACCCGTACCAACCTCTTTATTTTCCCGTATGAGTTGCAGGAGATGGTTGTTGGCCCCTCCAGTTTGCTCGTGTTTGTACATGATGTCGTTCAAGTCCGGGAAATCACGGTTCAGGTCCACGTTGTTCGCGTTGCCCCGGCCGTACATGGACGGCACACGACCCTAGAAGAAATGCAAGAAGACACGGTAAAAGAAAAACCTTCAACTTCGGAACGAAGAGTATTCATGTTCCTTTTGTCCAGAATTCTGGGGGGGGGGGGTTTGCATTCTGACAGTGACTTTATGGCCGTTCATAATACAACCATCTTTTTATGTTAGAAGTTGGACGTAGAAATATTTCCACAACGAGACCAACAGCTCTCATGTTCATCAAAACAATTTCCCCATACCAAAAAGCGAGCAGCAGAGGAGTGAAGATGACTGATTTCAAATCGATGCTACCCATCCCCTCTGCTTCTACGGATTGGTGAAACATTAACAGAAAGGGGCCCGAGAAAAGGGGGAAACGAGCGTTCCCTAACGGCGAATGAGGCCCCTCCCCTTATGGAATTTGCAATGGCCGAGCGGCAATTATTTTTTCTACAACCAAGTAAAGTCAGTGACTATAATGCGCATGCTTCAGTTTACAACGGAATGGTTCTCGGTATTTTGCGGCTGACCACTCCCCCCCCCCCCGAAATTTGGTTCTGAATACGCCCTTGGAGGAAGAAAATGGGGTTTGATCGTTGGCCAAAAAAACCCACCCAAAACCCAACACACAACTGGAGAAAAATATTAACACTACTGACGTGTAGAATGAACACCAAGCGTCTTAAAACAAAGTGACAACCCACCATGACGACGTGTCTACGGTATGCCATCTCGAACCCGTCAGGATTCATGGTGGGAAGTAAGTGAATCCGGGTACTGTTGATCAGCTTCTGAATTCGTTTGTTCTTCTTTGTGTACTCCTCGCACAGGTACTGGGCCAGGAAGATGAGTAGTTGGCGCCCTGTGGCCTCGTTCCCATGCATGTTGGCCACATACTTGAATTCAGCTTCCCCTGGAAGCGAGGGTGGGAGGTAGAAAATAATTTAAAAGTTGTGAAAGGTTGGTTTTAATTTTGGCATGAACAAAAAAGTATTGTGGGGTGCCTTTCAATCTTCCTTGAATTTTCTCAATTTTTTGAATGTTTGTATCCTGCTTTTTATCTCATGTCCAGGCGTTCTAATTATCATGTCTCGGTTTCTTTCATCGGAGTTATCCATTGTGCTCAATTAAATCACCCTCGAATAATAATAAATCGAGAATATGCTGGAAAAGTACAGGGATTTCGGTGGGAAATGTGCTTTGCCCCCTCTAGAAAAAATCCTGGCGACTCCCATGCTAGGGACATTAACACGTGTTCGAGCTTTTGAAATTTGGTTTGCATTTTAAGTGACACCTGTTTGGAGAATGTCTACAGGTGACTCAGGCACCTCATGGGATATCTGTCCTATAACTTCATGCTTTCCTGCCCGCGTTCTACTTATTTTTCACCCGTCACTACATCAGGAAAATTTAATGACGTCTGCAAAGCTCGAGATGACCTGGAACATTCAGGAGCTTGGAAAAACTCGACCTGATGATGGATTGAGGTCGGGGATTCTTGTAAGAGCGCCGTTTCGGGACGTAACCGAGACTCAGAAAAAACCCAACCCATCAAGCAAACAAACGAACAGCCCAACACCCCACCCAACAAACAAACTAACAAACAACCACAACACCCCCAACAAACAAACAAATCTAACAACATTCCTACAATAATGTCGATCAAGATCGTGGAGATACTGGTAAAAAAAATAACATTAAAATAATAACTGTAATTTTTGACGCAATTAAACTCATTTGGACCGTAAGTTACGTATGTTGTTACAGCTACTGCTATGCGGTTGAAGACAGGTGTTGAATTTTAAAAGAAAACAACAGAAGATACACGAATTCGAGATGTCCAAATTGTTCAGTTTTCCTGTTTTCCCTCGATTTATCCAGTTCCTGACATTTGATATCAGCTTGACAGCAAGTATAGACAAGGACAAAACTTCAATGCACTTTTTGGAGTGACACAAAATCTCTTTCAGCGAATTCCTGAAAAATCTTGTCCCCAAAGAAAGGTTGTTTTTCCCCTTCGCGGGACTCGAGTTCACGATTAAATATCACACGTAAACACCGGATTTTGTTATTTCAGGTAATGTTTGTTGGCATGTTCTACCCGAACAGTTTGACCCCATGTCACCGGGAAAATATTTCACAAAAAGTAACACCTTGAGGCAAATCGCGTCAAACAAATGGAATAACAAATCCAGCACATCACAACACCAGTATCCAATTTAATTGAATTTCAGGCTGAAATGATTAGTTTTAAATCAACGGATTTTTTTTTAATGAAATCTCGGAAAGTGTCCAAGCAATTCAGTGACTTCTGTGGAAGAGAACCAGTATTGGGGAGGAAAAAAGGGAAATCAAACGTGAAGCAAAGTTAAAAGTAATATAGGAGTAGAATAGAGTCAAAGTCAATGCCAAAAGTATGAAATTCAAATTCTAAGGAGTGGTAACAGTCATATTAGTATTGACAGTAATGCCAACAGTCATAATAGTGAAAGTCGAAGTGTGCCGGCTGGCACATTTTTTTAAACCCACCCTTTCCTCCGAACGAAACCATTTCAGGCGGAATCATTTCATAGGATATTGGGTTTGCCATCCCTTATTTTGAGCATGGCTTGTTTCTTTCAATCTGATATAGATCCGTTTCTGGGTAATTAACAAACAAAACCATACAAAATTCAATGAAATAACTACGGGTAAAAATAACAATTGGACAGGGTGTGACCGTCATCTGGATAAGTTGGTTCGAAATCTGAAAAGACAGTCACAAAATGTGCTTGTTTCATGTTTATCATCACTGTAAAAAAAATGGTAATTTTACATCAAAAGTTACGGAAGCAGCGTCGCCAGACACTCTGCTATGTATTTTAGTTTTTTATCAAGGGTTGTAAAATGATTCACAGAAGTGTTGCAAATTGATTTTACACTAAAAAAAAGTTGTTATTACAACAGAAAACAAATTGCATTCACATCTCTGTTCATCGGGTTTGGAAAGATACACGTATATTCACAGAACACGTTACCCTGCAAGTGCTTATTTAAAAAATGTTGTATATTAACCCTAAAAGGGCCGAGGCGGAATCCGCCCCCCCCCCCACCCCCTAAATCTTTTCCGCGATACCCTTGCAAAAAATATGTTTTCCTGACCCGAAATTTCCTGACTTTTAGCCTCGAGTCTTTCCCATCTTTTGATACCAAAAACATAAAATTCCGACTATGGATTACCGCGTAGCTAATTTTTTTAGGCGCTTCGCGCCGTGAAAACTTAATTTCTCCATATGTAGTGTACACAAAGCAGAATTACCATTGATGCATATGAATAATTAATAAGCCGATAATTCCAAAAACCTTCAACCTATAGTCATGAAATTTCTTGGGTATGTTCCTATTAAGTTGTTCTATGCATGCATCAAATTATTTCTTAATTTTTCGTCACTTTATGGCCGAGATCTAAGGGGGTGGAATCCGCCCCCCCCCCCCCCCCGGCTGTAAGATGGTCAAAATAACCCGGCCCCTTAACTAGGTTCTGTCAAAAACGGGAAACTTACTTGAAAAATGTAATTTCAACATCAAAAGTGTTGTAAAGTGAATTATACGGCAGATCAGTGAAAATTACAGAATTTGTTTACAGTGTATATATTGTGAAGCATGAAATATCCAAATGAGTCTAACGTCGTAAATGCGTCATTGGTCATTAGCAGCTTTAAACTTGCTCAATCCGTGGGAGGAAGCAGCGATAATTCACCGTTCAGCCGCATCGCTGCAAAGGTGTCAAGCTTATCCTCCAGGGGAGGGTGGGGGCTCGCTTCTACCCCTCACCCCTCCCTTCCGTTAATTTACTTCTTAATGAGGTGGCGTTTTCATTAACCCCCGCCTAGGCCAGGCAAGGTGCGAATGAACGTCACACAGCCGTTTACCATACCTGATCCGGTTCAGAACTGCTGCGTTTACCCGTGCTGAAATTACCTCCCGATGCGGACACATGCTTGCTGGGCATGCGCATTCCGTCTTATGGTAATTTCAGGCCAACAGTCAGAGCACCGAGGGAGCACCAGACCATTCACGTCAAGGCTATTTTCACGATCGTGTTTGACCGTTGTAAATCTCATTCGTTTCACCTGTTTCGTTTGTTGTGTTTGTGTTCCAAAACCGTTCCATAAATCTTGAGTGTTCATAAGTTGGGGTCCTTTAGCTAACCGTAAGGTAACCATAAATAATCTACAAAGTTCCCCAAAGTTTTCGGCACGATCTCTTGAAAATAAAAGACTGCTGCGGTAAATTTTGTCAACAGAAATGACCTGGAACAAAACAAGGCGGGCCCCTGATATGTTCATTATTCAAAGCTTTTCATCAAAATACCTATTCGTCAAAACGTCAGGCTCTCTCGAAGTTCATCTTACAGTCGTGGTTAAGTCTTGTCATTACCAAGCGACCTGTCATCTGCAATTGTCAAATTTAAAATGCCATTTTGATGAAACACAATAGGAACGTTACGAGAAAGTTCCACGCCCGGGCACACTAATTTGTCCCCAAACGCAGTAATAACTGCCTCCTTGAGGTACCCCTGGAGGGCCAAGCTAGCACCCCTGATGCACCCCTCCCACGCTATAAACATGACCCCGACAGCAGCAGCTTGCATCATCCGAACTGAGAAATTGATCAAGACGTATTAGACGCAGGTGAGACTGTGCCATTATTAACCGAAAAAAATGTGTTACTGTAAGAACATTCCCCGATTTTTCACACCAAACTAGTTAAAGGTCTGCCAATCGTGTAAATATCTGTTATTGTTTTTCTTTTCTTCAAATAAACAATTTAAAATTGAACATCGTGATCGTGTGAGGTTATTTCACCTTGAATTGTGTCGCCCAGAATTATGACAAAACTATCTATGACTGCGAAAGTTTTTTTCTTTTGTCTAAAGAAATTTGATAGATTTTAAATTAAAGTGATATCCCTTTACCTATAAGTATAACGGCATTACCCTTGCAATTTATGATGTCATTTTCTATTTTCTCTGAATCATCGATAAATGTAAGCGCGGAGTAAGTTAAGCTAGAACTTTAACAAAACAAGATGCGTACATTTCGTTAGCTTTCAAATGGTGTAGATTGATATTCGCGCAAAGGCATTGTGTGAAGTCCCTTTGATCACTGAATGAAAAATACCTTGCATATCTCGCCAAATTTTCTCCAGTGGCTGCAAATTAACCTCCTAGCTTCCTGTATGATCCGGCCAGGAAATTCAATAAGTCTCGTTTATCTTGTGAACTTTATGTCTGATATGGACAGTTTATTGTCTCTTCGCGGGTAACCGGGTACATGGAGAGGACACGGCCCAGCAGCGCGTGTCTGCTACCCAGTCAATGGCTTCGTGCACACCCCGCAGAGGGCGCCATACAGCGCTCGGTAATTCGTTATTTACCCGGTGGTGCCGGTAGCGCGGCAAGTCTCCTCTACAAAACATTGCGAAGGAAACGCATAATTATTATTTTGTGGGTGGCTTAACTCCATGATGCATGTGAATACGTTCCGGTAGTGTTTTCCAGTAACTTAAGAATTTGATGAATAATGAAGTTATGTTCCTTTGAAGTTTAAAGGAGAGGGAGGAACTTCTCTTTGCCATAAAAAAAACAGAGGAAAGTGGTGCTCAGGTTGTTAGAGAAAAAACATAAACAAAGAATCTTGAACTTATAGCAATATTGATACGCCTAGACCTTACATGTATACATTACCCTATCGTGTCATTGTACTTTTTTTACGGGCGCAATAAGGCATGATTAATCTTAAGTCATTTCCATCAACACGTCACGGTCATGCCATCGGCTTTCGCACCAGCAGTGTTTTACAAGCAAAGTGAAGCATAAACTTTAACTCGTCACTATTATATAGGCGTGGGCGAGATTACCTCAGCCGGTGAAAAATAAATATCCATTCAATTTGAATTTTGGTACACCAGGTTTCATCGGTTGCTATGTGTTACCATTAAGCACTCCAGACTCAAGAACCAATGAATTTCAAGAAATGGCTCTGAGTGCTAGGTAAGGCAATGTAGAAAAAACTCGCAGATATCTGCGCCCACCTATAAACTTTCATCGTAATATTGAGCCTGCCTCAAGTGGAATTACGTATTATTGATCAAAGTCATTTTCTTCCTTGCAACGGCGTATTCAGCGGGAGGGCCCGGGCGATATTTTTCCCGATGATACCACACATTCGCTATAGGTGTGTATCGAAGCACGTTGGGTTGCAAGTCAGGTTCTCGGACTTTATTTTCCCTTGAAAAAAACATCCTCCAAACCACAAATTAGCAAAGGAAAATGTTCCAAATGTCTAAAAATTCCATTAAAAAAGTAAATATATCGCAGCCCAGGGAGGGGCAAATCCGCCCCCGGCCCCAGTCCCCTTCTCGATCGACAGTTGCACCTTTTTTTCAAAGAAATTGGAAGCATCAGCACCTCACAGCCAGCACTGTCTTGACTAGGACCCCTCCACGTTTAAACTTTGTTACAGGCCGAAAACATGTACACTGATTGTGTGTCACAATAGAGTTTGCTCATGGGTCCTGAACCCTCCATTCTCTCCAAGTTCACGGGGTTGTGACTTACCGTCAACTCTCGTTGGGACACCCCTGTTGCCACTTATCACGGTTGACTCATCGCTATGTTGACAGATTCAAGTCGTGAGCGTGTTATGTTGTCACGAAACAAAACGCGCCTCGCAACGTTAAATCCATTTTCTTTAGAGGGGATCCGGGATTTTTTTCAAGGGTTGGGAGCTGACATTACAATCCTGGCTTTTCACGTGGGTGTTTGATGTGTTAAAGTCAACAGTCGGGCCCCCGAATGCTTTTTACCAATGCCTTTACTTAGTCACTGGTACAAAAAAACTGTGTTGCCTTTTCACTGGCGTGCGCTGTTGGTGTTGGTGGTACCATGGAGGAAGGAATTAATTCCTTCCTCCATGGTGGTACAATGTACATTGTAGTTGGGTCTGATGTAAAGGTCCATGCGGGGATCCTTTTTGAGGGCCGGACCGTGTTAATACCGATTGCGGTGCCTTGGTTTCAACGCCACCGAGGTCTTACGATATTAATCAGCATGAGAAATTCAGCCACCACGCGAATATCATTATATGGGTGTTAAAATGGGAAGATGCTCCGCCCATTTTGAGGGGGGGAATGCAAAATAAACATCGCCCACCTTTTGCCACATACGATCCGCCCTATTTGTTATATCAACAGTGCTATTTGAATGCGTACCGGTACTGTAATTGTACCTTTTCAGAAAAAAAAATCGAGATGTTGTTTTTAGCAGAAATATTGCTTCAACAACTTTTTTTGTTAAATTCAGCTGGAAACCCGTGCACAATTTACATCACTTGGTAATTGTTTTCGCCTCATTGCTAAGCAACAATTTTTGTTGCACTAAGAAATTCCTGATATTCCGGGGAAAAAACAGTGTATGGTGTGGAACACACGGAACCTTGCAGTGACGTCATAGACTGGCCCCCTCTTCCTCCGAATCCTCCACCTTCTTTTAATTATCTCCTTGTTTCGTAACCACTCGTGTTTCTTCAGGCTATACATGTATCCCAAAAAAGTCTGCATAACACATGCTCCTGCAGTGTCGTCTGTGATTTATCAGTGTACCGTGGCCTCGTTCATATTACCTTGCCAAGTCATGTGGAATGACCAGACATTATTGTGGAATGTTGGCATCTGTAGACATTGTTTCGTTGTGTACGTGGGTGAAAGAATCAATTTATGACAATTATTATTGTGGCAATTCTTTCGTTCTTGTGTCCTTCACATTTGACAATGGCTGTGTTCAGGTGTCTATCCCAACTTGAGTTCTGGGAAAGACTTCAAACCTTATTGAAACTGCTGAAGGCAATTGTATTTGTTTACGCAGTTGGAAACTGTACATGTTTGTGTATTTGTGGTGGTTGCAGTGCGGTCGCTTTCTCCGTTTGGGTGGATTGGTTTGTGTGTTGCCTTCCGAAAGAAGTTACTTCAGGGAATTGGGACTTTCAGTTTAGTCCCCAACTTTTGTTTTGTCACCTAAAAACGTGTTTGTCATGTTATATACCAAATCGTGAAGAAATTGTCCAATTTTAAAATTAGATAAAGCATAAAGTATGTCAAGAGTTTTCACAACTGCGTGTGCATTGTTAGCTAAAAGGTAGTGTTTATGAAAAAAAATACGGGGAAAGACTTTTAAACACTGTCATTTTTGCCAAACATTATTTTAGCCTTCCTTTAAAAAAATGTAAATTTAACACCCATTAATTACAGAATTTGTTGGATATACCTACCCACTTCGTGTACCCCTGGGTTATCCGACATCTCCAGCACATATAGCCTGCGTCCCTGTACACTCCTCCCAATGTCGTACAGTCTCGTAATACTCCGGCATTTCCAAGCTATCTGGTGCAACAACACGACCAGTTCGTTGTGGCTCTGATAGCTGAAGTCTATGCCGTGATCTGCTCCGTTCTGCCCGGCTACAGACCCAGGAAAGCCCAGGTTTAGACTAAGCAGCATTAAAGCGACAATCTGAGATACAAAACTCGTTACCAGATGCATTTTGGTGTCCTGGTTGTGTGGAGAACACACCTTTAAGCGTAACACAGGTGTAACTTTGCAGGTGTCTGCAGTTAAGAGTTAAAACACTCAAGCTGCCTTGACGCTATGGGTGAACAAGCAACACGCTGATCCTAGCAAAAATAAAACCTTTCCCAAGGCGTCTTAAGTCCTTCGCGGGGGTGTGGATCTCAAGATCTCCAAATCCCTTCAAAGAAAATCGGGTGATGTAGATGTTCGGTTGACGTCTGTCAGCGCGTCCGGAGCGGATGCTGAATGATTTCCTCCCGACGAATCAGAATCGGTGATGACACAATCTTGCATCACAGGGGAAATCCGCTCATCACGAATGGACGCCTCCAGAAATGTCTGTCGAGTAGGAACACCGGGTACGTGTTGTAAGACTAAGAACCTTGGTCACCAATTGGACTGAAACCAAGCCCTGCAGAAATAAAGGTAGGATTTCTGCCAAGGATGCGATGTTGTCTGCTGAAATGAATTCCAGATCGGAACTAGGAGCAGACTATACGGAAATCATTTAATTCAAGGGTGATGATTCTCGGTGTTTTTGCAATAACTGATGATACGGAGAAACCTGTGTAACAAGTGCCAGGTCGTTGGTGCCACCACCTCACTAAATAACACGCGACTGGCGCAGGGCGAGTCAGTTCAACAAAAGTGCACCTATAGTCTCTATCTCAAGGACTCGGCGTTTGCTTTCCTTGATCCTATACAGCGCACGAGGAAAGGCTAACACCTTTATACCCGCTACACGTCGTAACTCTTACCACAGAGGTGATCCAGGTCGGCCTCTTCTGCCCCCTAGACGTCAACGGCTCCGGTTCCCGTGGGAGCTAGCCAACCAGGCCCCTGTCAGTTACCTCGTGGGGCCATGAGCCACGCGAGCCCCGTCTCTCCATGGCTAGCTAGCTAGGTGGACCCCGCTAAAATCTCTAAAAAGGAAAAAAAAATGGCGGAAGGGTTTGGGGATCGTTTTGGCGGCAATGTAACGGAAATGCTTTATAGGGTGGTTTCTAGATTGATTAGTGGATCAGGCGTTTGAGATTAGCCGTGTGCTGCTTGGGACCTGTTCTCTGGCAAACATGTCACATTAGCTTCCTATTGGTGTCTGTCTTGCATGAACTCGGACCAACAGAGTTTGAGCGTAGGCAATTAGCCCCCTCCCAATCCGTTCCAAAGGTTTAGTTACTAGGAAGAAATTATTGCTGAGCTAACTCCAGCTCGGAACCAGTCACACGCAAAATGCGCCGCATAACTTTTGGGGCTGGTTACCTGTCTTTGCTATTAGTAAAATTATTTTCTCAATTCAGCAAAATTCCGTGCTTCACAGCTCCTTGAAATTGCCCCTTTTAACTGAACAAATTACTTTGTACAAAAAGAATGCACAAGTATGATTTGATTATCATTTTTTTTTCGACACCACATTTTTTTAAATTTAATACCAACATATGAAAATGAAATTTGCAAGGTTGCGACCCTGTATGACTGGCCTGGTGAATACCGATAATTGATTGGTTGATTATTACAACTATTACTGGAAAAGCAGCATAGCTACAAAAGCTTATGCAATATGCACACACTGTCACTTCAGTTAGTCGTTACTTTTAACGTCATTACTCAACTGATTGACTACAAGTATCTGGCTGACGGATTGGTAATGTGTTTTTTCCCTATACCCAGAGCGTCGCATTCCATTTTATTACTGTGACGGGTCCCATCATGGTGCCGTCAATCGGAGCGCTAGGCCCGTAAGGAGGTGTGTCAACGCCCCGCTCTGCTCTGCCGGGGACCAATATTATTTCAACGGCCCGCAAGTGTGCATTGCCTTGAACACTGTTTGTTTTTCTTGACTTGGAACACCAAGCGAAACATACCACAACAATCAGACCACAATATTATTATAGTTTAAGGTCAATTCATAGGCGGTTAATCTATGGAGCTATATGATTTAAAAACTATAAACATTAGCAGTCAGTGCCAATCCTCCCTCTGCGTTTTAATTAAACTACCTTTATTTTCTCTAGCTCTGCTGGTGCTTATTTTCTGCATCATCTGTGAAATAATAATAATCAATGACTTGCTCAATATTGTTTTCGCCCGATACACCACGTTGATTTAAATTTCCAAATGGTAGACTCGGTAATTAATTTCTGTGTCCATGTTTTTAAAGTGCCCCCACCTTCATTCCTTCCTCCGTGCCCCCACTAACTTATTGACTTGCCCCCTGAGATTTCGCAGCTGCATGGCCCTGCCAGGCACCGACGCGTGCGACATCGGGAAAATGTGTGACGCTTCTGGTTCTGGGAGACAAGTTCCCAAGTAGATTCTGTCAAAAGATAACTGACATATTTCTCCCGTGGGATACCCTGAAAAGGTTGGGGTTTTTTTGGGGGGGCGGGTATTCGTTCACACGGTGACCATAACCAACGGCCATGCATGTGACCATACCAGTTTAAACAATTAAATCTCAGTACGGAGAACTTTGTTTCAATTAGGTATATATATATGTGGGGGGGGGGGGGGGGGGGGGGCGGGGGGGTATTTTATTCCCCCTTCCTCGAAGGCCGTCCAAAATCTTAAGTTCAATAATGACCCGTCGAAAAATTCAATGAACTCCACAAGTGTTGAAGTCCGCCCTCTGTTGTCAATAGTTGGTAAATCAAAGATGGCAGCGCCCAGTGGGATCCGCGACTTTCAAAACGTCCTTGCAAAATTCAATTGATCACGCTGTCTGCGCTGTCGTTGCCTATGTGGCAGATATTGAAAGATGGAGGGATTTCCAATGGCTCTAAGAGGAGTTCTTCCTAAGAATGTCAAGGAAATGGCTCTGGAAGATCTTGCGCAGGTAAAAAACTTGCACTTTTTTGGAACTGGAAGGAACTTTATTTTGTTGTGCACGTTCTCTTTTGAGTTGACTGAATGCATTGCATGACGCACGAACAAATTCCTTGACGTTAAGCTTCACATTACTTCATGCTGTGAGTGACTGTCGAACTTAATTACTGGATCGTGAAACGAAATTGCAACCTGACGCCACTTTTTCCTTCAGTACAACTATAGAATGCAGGGCCACTTTACTCTACATCCGCGCCTCCGTACGGCTGCGTGGAGGCGTGGAACCGCAGTCGACCTACCTCTGAAAATCGATCGTGGAGTCGTGGAGCCGCAGAGAATTGCGCCCTCTATCGGTGCGCGTCTCTGCGACTCCGCGACTCCGCGCCTCCACCACTGAGAGAGACAGTGCCCCGTCGCCCTCCCCCCCTTCCTAATTTGCGCGCCCATTTAAAGCGACTCTGCGACTCCGCGACTCCGCGACTCCGCGACTCCGCGCCTCCGCGACTCCAGACAGTGCCCCGTCGCCCTCCCCCCCCTTCCTAATTGGCCCGCCCAATTAAAGTGACTCTGCGACTCCCCGACTCCGCGCCTCCGCGACTCCAGACAGTGCCCCGTCGCCCTCCCCCCCTTCCTAATTGGCCCGCCCAATTAAAGTGACTCTGCGACTCCCCGACTCCGCGCCTCCGCGACTCCAGACAGTGCCCCGTCGCCCCCTCCCCCCCCCTTCCTAATTGGCCTGCCCAATTAAAGTGACTCTGCGACTCCCCGACTCCGCGCCTCCGCGACTCCAGACAGTGCCCCGTCGCTCTCCCCCCCCCTTCCTAATTGGCCCGCCCAATTAAAGTGACTCTGCGACTCCCCGACTCCGCGCCTCCGCGACTCCAGACAGTGCCCCGTCGCCCTCCCCCCCCCCTTCCTAATTGGCCCGCCCAATTAAAATGGATATGGATGCTTCGTTCTCAAAAGATTCCGCCGAGAATTGCGCCCTCTATCGGTGCGCGTCTCTGCGACTCCGCGACTCCGCGCCTCCGCCACTGCGGTCACTCCAGTGCCCCGCGTCTCCGCGATTCTGCGACTCCAAGACTCCGCGCCTCCGCCGCTCCAGACAGTGCCCCCAACACATTTACAAGCACGCCCTCCCTTCCGATCCTTCATGAGAAGCTTTGAAGACAAGTGCAGTGCATTCCTTCGCTGTACTTAGCACTTTTTGGCAGGTTTGCATATCTATTACTCCTATTCCATCCACGCCTCCAGGCAAAATAAAAAACCTTGCTTCGGCGTGGCCCTGCATTCTATAGTTGCTCCTTTCCTTCATATATCATCTCAATAAAGGTCAGTCATTGCAAAAATGTTGAAAAGACACAAATTTGGGACTGAGAAACATGGCGATCGTGTAGTGTAGTGCCCCTGAAATTGAAAAATTAAATTGTTAATTACTTAAATCAGACTTCTCTCAATGTATTGACACCTTTTTTGGTAATTTTTGAACAGTTCCTTGGTGTAGAAATTACAATTTTCCTATGCTTTTTACTAGTCCGAGTAACTTGGACCATTTATTCTTTTTTAACTTTCGGATGTGGTCTGGCGATAGAAGGGTCCAAGCTAATCCGTATATGTCGAGCAACACAATTTTGTCCGTGACCCAAAAACCCAACATTGCCCAACAAAAACATCAGATTTCACCCTCAAAATGGCCTACAAATTACTAGATACGCCACCTGAGGTACAAGTAGACATCGATGATTAAGATGGTTGTGCTGAAGTTTACTTACAATCCGGATGAAAAGTGAAATTTCCCGTTTAATTCCGAGAGCTCCCCTAGCGATCATGAACATGTTAAATTTCCGACTCGTGTTAAATGTTTGAATGATGCGATGTGGTCTTCATGCCCAGCGTACATGCAATGGTCCCCGTATCCCGAGTACGATTCCGTTACCGAGCGCGATGCATCGATAAATGATAATGAGTAGACTGGATCTCGTTTGTAAGCACAAGTACATTTCGAACAGTCAGGTTAAAATATTCTTTCCGTTGAGCTTAATATCAGAACATTTCTTAAACTTAGAATGCACGTTGTAGATTTGAGTACTTGGGGCTAATTTCACCATAGAAATTGAAAACATCTATCAATTTTTCACAGTGTCTTTAAACTTTACAATGTTCCTTCCAGGAAGTAACTGGCCGTGCCCTATGCCTCCTCCTTCAAGAGTGTGCCGACGATTTCTTCCGAGGCGACATCCCTCAATCCCTGAACAAGTCCGAAGAGCTCTTGAGCTACACTTGGGAGAAACTCAACACGGGACATTGGAAAGATGTAGACATAGCCTGGAGACATGTCTACACATACGCATCACTTCTAAAAGCTATGGGAATCTGCAGAGAATGTGAACATGAGGATAGGACGGAGGATGCAATCCAGGCTAGTTATAAGGTAATGGAGTCGTGCGCAAACAGTAGAGGGCGCTTTGTGAGCATAGCACTAAGTACGCAAGACTGACTTTATTCTTAATGTGCACAAATCTGTACCGTCTTTGTGTGAGCGTTGGCTCTCCTCAAGAGTTCCTCATTGAATTGTATTCCAAGGGGCTAATTTCATGAAACTCATCCTATCTTGCGACTCATCCCAGGACTTAAGACGAGTCACCGCTCTAAGATCGATCTCAGCTAAGGCGCGTCCCAAGACCGATTTCACTAAACCTGTCTTAAGCAAGACTCGTCAAAACTACCAATTTGATAATTGTTTCATGTTTGTTTTTACCGCTTGACAAAACTCTGCAACGCAAAAAATCCTAATTTTCGCTGTACCAAAAAAGTGCAAAGGGAAACAAGGTAGACACTTTGAAACCCTGCGCACAGTTGTGACAAAAACGCAGTGTGAATGCAAATCCGAGCAACAGCTCCTGCGCGAATGTGTCGACCGTTGTTACTAATCTTTGGACAATTCATGGACTTACTACTTGAGTCTATGCCGAATTAGGAATGAAGTTTCCTGGTGTAATTCTCTATGTATGTTTGTATGAGTTGCCCTTCCTTAGACTTGTATTAGCGTTCCCTGAAATAGGCCTCTGGTGAACCCATAAACCCATACAGTACTGAGGCGGTTTTGGGCGATACAGGGAGTAACAGGCAGGGCTGTTTTGGGCAGTACAGGGAGTAACAGGCAGGGCTGTTTTGGGCAGTACAGGGAGTAACAGGCAGGGCTGTTTGGGGGCAGTTCAGGGACAAATGGTTAAGAAGACTGTGAGCATGATGGCTAAATAGATATGCAATGAGTTTTGTGAAACTAACAAACCTTTAAATTGAAGATGTCATTTTATTATTCATTTTCAGAAAGCTCTTGAGGCATGTGATATGGGTCTACTCATGGGGGCTCCTGTGCTGGATAACATCTTGAGTCGATTTGCTAGAGCCATACAGACCACCTACAAGCCGCTAAAACCTGCATCCTGCACAAGCAGAATTCTGGTACGTCCTCAAAACTGGAACAATTAATTGAAAGATTTTCAGTTTGTCTTTATCACACTTTCACGTACCTCAAAGTTACTTCTTGTGTTGAATTCAAAAGTTTTTCTCAAACACCTTTTTCTCCTTAGCTTTTTCTGCTACTTTTAGACTGCTCACCGGTCTTGTTTACTTTCTTCAGCACGATTTTTTTTTTAACAATCTCTTACTTTGTTCAGCTGAAGAAACTGTCTTTTTTCTAATTTAGTTCTTTCAGTTTTCCTGTTCAACCTAAGTTCTTAGAGACAATAACCAAACTTCACATGTCACTTAGAACTGAAAATGGGATAATTTATAATTTGTTAATTTGGTCATTGAATATGTCAAAATGACAGAATATAATGCATCGTAAAACCACACAAAGTGTCTGTGGGACAAGAGGCAGAAAACGCTTTAGTTTTTGAGATACGCGATCTGGTCCTCCGAATTTCATAAAACTTCCCAGACATGTAGATTATGATCTAAAGTGGTCAGTTTGGATTGACTCAAGCAAGTACCAAAGTGCTTCGAAGTTGGGATTTGTTCTCAAATTTTCGGTCCAATTTTCTCCCATTCTTCCAGGATCAGTCAGTAGAGCCCTCCCTGCCTCCCCATCAAATCCCAGCGATCTCCAAACAGCATGAGATCCCTCGAGTCTTCTGCCCATCACTCCTGAGTTTCCAGTCTCAGTACATGCAGACGAAGACACCGGTCATCATACAGGGAGCAATGGAGCACTGGCCGGCGTTGGGACTCAGAAAGTGGAGGTAAAACTCAGATGCAACACTTGCAAACTTGGAAGGATATTTCCATTATTCTTTGGCTTCTACCGGTTTTAGATGAGTTTTCTGTTTCAGAATTGTTAAAAATGAACAAGGTGAGCAAATAAATGCAAAGTAAATGCCAAGTTTGTTTTCAATTTAAATTTGATATTCCTTAGACTATGCACTAAAAAATCTTTTTTATCTAAAATTTGCCCATGACAAGGTCCCAAAAGAGGCCACTGAGGTGAGGGCTACACAAAGTGGGGGGAGAAAAAGAAAACACAGGAAAAAAAGAATTGATTTAAATTCTGATGATTTTTTAATTATATAATTTTTTTTTTATTTTGGTTTACATTTAAAATGCTTTTGAACTGTGACGAATTGTAAGTGACAGATAAATCGACATACAGTGAAGATTTCTAAGAAACACAGGGAAAAAGTATGTTCGATATAAATTCAGATATTTTTTTGAGATTATGGTTTATTTTTATTTTGGTTTAGATATATTTTGCTTTTGAGTTCTGACAATTCAATTCGTAATTATGATTTTTGTTGTTTATATCCTCACAGTTTGGATTATTTACGGCAAGTCGCAGGCAGTCGTACAGTCCCCATTGAGCTCGGAGCCAAGTACACAGATGAGGCGTGGTCACAGTCACTCATGACAATCTCCGACTTCATCTCCAAATACATTGAGGGAAAGGTGATTCTTATAAGCAGTTTCTTGTATTTTTGTTGTCTCTCTGTTAAGTTTGAAAAACGCCCTCTCTTGATCTAAGAACAAGAAAAGACACTGAAGCCACCCTCAGGTCTACCTTGCGATGAACAGATTTTTTCAGGATCAAGCTCACCTGAGCTACAACCGATTTATTTGTGCCCAGAGTGCAACTGCGATATAATATTAAGGTGATCAGTGTCAGTCGCGCTAGAAAATGTCAAATTCCACACCGCAACTGAACGTGTTCCTGACGGGTGGGAATCAATTGCAGTCGACCATTGTGAAGTTGCAACGTCGTGCGCGCAATTGGATCATCCAGTTTTATTGTGAACCATCGTTGCGTCATGGGTGACGTGAGCGATGTTGCGATTATTCTGTGTCGAGATACCACTTTCACACAATTTCTCAGTTTTGTGACCTGAGCATGATTTTTGCTGTCGATGCTGATGGTTCCGTTGCGCCACAAGCAAATCGCAGGTCGACTTAAGGCCGGCTTTAGTTGTTCAAAATAGTCGTTGAAATTGGAATGCAAAGAGAAAACAGTTCATAAGAATTTCAGACTAGTACGAATTTAATAAACTTGCAACTTTCTATATTTCATCCTGTGCGCGTGATTTTGAATATGGAGAAACTGGAAGTTTCTAAAGTTTATTCTACTTGAGACTGCTGCTTTAATCACTGAACAATTGTTTTAAACAGTAGCGTAATTGAGGTGCTTGTTATGGATCACAAGTACATCACATGTCCAGTCGTAAGTAACAGTGGATGAACAATAACAAAGGAATGTCTTTGGCACAGTTCTTCTGAATAGCTTGTGAGTTGACTTGGGACTGGAGGACTTGTGATTACTTGTGATGACTTGTGATGGACTCGTGATGGACTCGTGATGGACTTGTGCTGACTTGTGATGGACTTGTGATGACTTGTAATGGACTTGTGATGGACTTGTGATGACTTGTAATGGACTTGTGATGGACTTGTGATGGACTTGTGATGACTTGTGATGACTTGTGATGACTTATGATGGACTTGTGATGACTTGTGATGGACTTGGGATTGACTTGTAATGGACTTGTGATGACTTGTGCTGACTTGTGCTGACTTGTGATGGAATTGTGATGACTTGTGATGAACTTGTGATAACTTGTGATTACTTATGTTTACTTGTGATGACTTCTGATCCATCACGAGCACCTTTACTCCAGCACTGATCTCCAGCACTGATCAGTGTTCCAGCACTGATTGGACCTTCAACTGATCAGTGTGTTGCAGACAAAAAAGTTAATCTTCATAGAAGTTCCAAAGTTGAGACTGAAGTCTCGAGTAAAAAACAAATTGCATCAAATTAAAGAAGAACGTCTTAACAGTAACGTTAAAGAAAAAGTGCATCAGGAACACATTATTGAGGAAATGAAGTATGGGTTTTCTTTACATTTATAACAGGAATTATCAAAGAGGAAAGGCCAAGTTGGATATCTGGCTCAACATCAACTCTTCTACCAAGTAAGATTTTGGTCCATTTTTTTCAAGGCAGTGTATCTTTCACCTGCAATACACATGTGCAGTGAGTGTTTTTTGGGACTTACAATTTTAACGTGACAAGTTTTCGTCTGGTTCCATGTTTACATTGACGTTGTGATTTCATATTCACGAGATTGGAATCAGGCCTAATGCAACTTCGGACTTTATTTCCCTTAAAAAAAAGTCTCCCGAGCCCCCATATCAGAAAAAGAAGACAAACTATCCTGCAAATTAAATGTAGGATTAAATTTTGGACAATAGAAAAGACAAGTCTTACTTTTTTAGAGAGATTGACAAAAAATTCAAAATTAGTGTGAAAGCGGAGAATCGAACTGCACGCGTCGTCATGATTCCTAGTCTGGAACGACATCCACTTGGCCACGTTGCTCGGGTTGAAATTGGAACTTCTGTATCTGTATGTGTAGCATACTGCAAGCAAACTCCACTATGGGATATACGGTGCAGGCGCGTGGTGGCTAGCAGCGTCCCTGCACAGTTTTGTTAGTAGGCCCCCTTAGTGTTGAAGACAACTGCATCTCATGGAGCCTTGACTTAAAGGACTCCACTGAAGTAGCTTCCCTGACTTCTGTAGGAAGTAAGTTCCACTGAGCTGTTGTTCTTGGTAGGAAAGAGTATCTGTAGCAGTCCTTCTTAGATGTAGGGTGAACAAAGGATAATGAAGATAATTTTCTAAATGAGATTTTGTCCCGTTTGGAATCAACTTGGTACTGATCAACATCAATTGCGATTTTGTGATGAATGGATTTGTAGAGCAAGGTTAGTCTGGATATGGTTCTGCGTTCCTCCAATGATTTCCATCCGAGGTGGGTGAGCATTGATGAGACAATAGTGCAATTAGATGTAGGGTGAACAAAGGATAATGAAGATGATTTTCTAGTTGAGATTTTGTCCCGTTTGGAATCAACTTGGTACTGATCAACATCAATTGCGCTTTTGTGATGAATGGATTTGTAGAACAAGGTTAGTCTAGATAGGGTTCTGCATTCCACCAATGATTTCCATCCGAGGTTGGTGATCATGGATGAGACATTTGTGCAATTAGATGTAGGGTGAACAAAGGATATTGAAGATGATTTTCTATTTGAGATTTTGTCCCGTTTGGAATCAACTTGGTACTGATCAACATCAATTGCGATTTTATGATGAGTGGATTTGTAGAGCAAGGTTAGTCTGGATATGGTTCTGCGTTCCTCCATTGATTTCCATCCGAGGTTGGTGATCATGGATTAGACAATTGTGCATCTGAATTCCTTACAGACGAATCTGGCCGCTCTGCGTTGGACGGCTTCAAGCTTCTTTTTGTGGTCCTGATGGTACGGATCCCATACGCTGGCGCAATATTCTAACTTAATATGTTATGTGGTGTAGGCCTACTTGTATACTCGCACATGAGGGCGCTGTTCAATTAAATAAAAACTTTGTTTTAGATAAACAGTTTGCGGTTTTTTTTAAAGGAAGAAATATTGTCAGGTCATCCCTTCAACTTTTGTAAAGGCTGAATTATTGAAACATACCGGTATCTGTTTTGAAATGAATTTTTTCTTCGCAAGAATCTGAATTCAAGTCCAACAATAAAGTAACGTAAATACTTAATTTCCAATGGCACTGTGTTACCTCACCAAAGGAAAAAAACAACAATCAAGTTTGAAATAGGTATTGTTCATGTGAATTGCATTTATCCACACTTACAGAAAGAGGGCGCTATACAATTATCACAACGGCTCTCAACATAACAAAGTTGAACACAAGAGGGGGCACTTGCTTGAGTTGATGGTTTGAGTTAATGTCAACTGTGAGTCAAAGCCATCTTTTTCATGTAGACAAAAAGTTGGTATATACAAGATAAAAGAAACATGTGGACACTTGATAGATTAAAGGTTTTTTTTCCAAATGCTTTGAGGAAATATGTGAGGCAACAACAAGCCTTTTGGCGTTTTCGTCAGGTTTCCCTCCGTTAAAACCTGGGAAGTGATGCCCCTTGAAAAAATTGCCACGGGTTCCCGCAAAGTGATCATTTTTTAATGTTTAGGAAGGTTAACCCTGACCCCTTTAATCTTACTTTGGAGTAAAGTACCACAAAGTACTACGGAAATTATGTATGCAGGTACCAAATACCCCAAAATACTATGAGTGCTGTGCCCACTTATATGCTGAAGTACTGCAAACTGCAGTTTACTACATTTTGTACCAGTAGTATTTTGTAGCTTAAGGTGAAGTTAGGATTAATGGCATAAATTCTCGGAGAATGAAGAGTTTAAAACCTAACCCATCGTTAAAAATGTTCCCTAACTACACAATTCATATCTCAAACTGTCAGTAAACATAGACATACATTTGATGTAACTGAGCTCTTTCAAATACTGTAAGCTTTTGTCTGTTTGACCTCTCCCACGACCTACATGTTCATGTATTATTTCATTTTGTAAAACATACGCCACAGCAATTCAAAAGTTGCATTGATCAATGTGAATCAGTGCATGAGCAGTTGTCGACACGTTAAAGGTAATATACAACATTTGCAAACATAAAAAAGTTACCAAATTATTATGAAATACCTTACCTGACTTGTAAGTGAATAATAGTCTCAAGCATCCTGTGAAATCGTGGCACCTGGTGTGCTGTCATTCTCAAGAAAAGTGGAATTTTTGTATCAATTTCCAACGATGGTTGGCTGACCATCGTTGGAAAAAAACTGAACTACATTTGTAATGTTTTTCAAAATTCTGCCCCCAAATTACCAAATTTATTTAGTCTACATTTTGTTTGCAATCAGTTACACATCCATGAACGAATGCAAGCCAGCTAATCTGGTTCCCTGACCTGACAATTCCCCGATGCCTATAAATTGCTGTGTTTCATCTGAAATAGGATCAGGGAACCAGACTAGTACAGGACTACTAATAATTATTTGCTATAAATACTCGCCCCCAAATCCATCCATTTCTGAAAATTACAGCAGAAGCAAATGTTACATATTACCTTTAGATAAGTATAAAGGGAGACACAAATACAAAAGCTTTCACTTGAAGAAAAAAAACCACTAAACACCATCCCTCCAAACTTCACTGTCGCAAAGCTTTTTAGCTATGAAGATAAATTTCAGCACCTTAATGGAAGATAGTGCCACTTCACAGAGAAACCACAAACTTGAAGAACCCTCCTAAGGACTTCCATTAACTTGCTGTGGTTTCTGGGCATTTTTTAACTTGCTAACTTTGCCGGCCAAAAGAATGGACTTTTTTGTGTTTCTTTCAAGTCACCATTCTAAGCCAGCGCAATTCATCACAAAGTCAATTCGTGAAAGGACTGGAGTTGAAATGAATTGTTGTATATTCTACGCCATTGTGTTTTTGGCTGCATTCTCCGAGACTGGTTCTTTGAACAAAACCGGTCAAAGTCACGATCCAACTATCCATTCTATCGACAGACGAGAAGTTTCAACTTGCGAAACCTAATCACAAATTTTGATTTATGTTTGATTGGTGGAAAAGTATTGTTCCTTTTTTTCGGTTGGGGGGGGGGAATTTATTCCTTAAAAAGTAACCAAAAGTGTGTCCGGGATACATGAAAAGAGTCACTTGTACCATCAAGAATCAATGAACCATTGTTAATTTTTCTTTTTTGGGGGGGGGGGACAAAAAAGTAAAATGCCTCCTATGGGGGAAGCAGTAGCAGAAAATCAATCAAGTTTTTTCAATTGGACCATGTAAAAGCTTCATTTAGAGTTCGTCAAAAAAATGACTACAAATTGTATCACTTGATTTCTGTGCACAACACATTTTTATAGCGTGTTTGCTTTTTTTTTGGTAAGAAAAAAACTTGTAGGATTTATGATACTCTGAAGTTGGTATCCATAGACATACATGTGGAGGCTTTTTGTGGTCTCCAAAATCTTATGTCAGTAATGAAAGGTTGTTAATACATCATTAAAATGACTGTACATTTCCCTGTTACATGCCACTCACTCGCAGTATTTTGAGACTTTAATTAATTAAATGAAGTGTCAAAAAGCAGGAGGTAAACTAGGTCCACATAAAAAAACATAAATTCCAACTGTCTTTGTGTTAAAGGTAATACGACCTTCGCAAACATAAAAAACAAAAGCACTACCGTGTAAATGGTTGTGAAATACCTCACTTTTATTATAAAGAGAAGGATAGTCTCAAGCATCCTGTGTAATCAAGGAACCTGGTGTGCTGTCATTTGCAAGAAAAGTGCATTTTTTTTGTATCGATTTCCAACGATAGTCGGCCGACCGCTGTCGGGAAAAAAATAGACTTTTTTCAAATACTGCCCCCAATTTGACAAATTTCATTAGTCCATATTTTGTTTGCAAATGGGTGCAAGCCAGCTAGTGTCTGGTTCCCTGTCCTGGCAATTCCCTGACATCTGTATATTGCTCTGTTGTGTCTGAAAAAGGGTCAGAGAACGTACCAGACTACAACTTGGAATGGCATTTTGTTCTTGGTTTTTCCAGCATCTATGAACGCAAAGTTTTAAGCAGGTCAGTGTAACAACATTTGCTATAAAATTTTTTTAATATTTTATGCAGCCTCAGTGAAGATAATTGCAAAAGTCCCACCGCCTTCCAATGTACTTAGCGAAAGTAAATGATAAGCAGGACAAGTTCCTTTTTTGAACTAGCAGGACAGTTCTTATCAGAACTAAATCTAATGAGCAACAGTACACAAAACCAAATGGTGTTAATACCGCAAACTGAAACTATATCGATACTCCACCATGTAAAGCCTAAAATCTGATATTAAATATTAACCCCTAAATCCATCCATTTTTGAAAATGACAGCAAAAGCAAATGTTGTATTTTACCTTTAAACTTTTTTCAAATACACATGTAGTATTTTTCCCTTACCTGAAACTTTTGGAGTAATATTGTTTTTAAACATTCTTTCAGGTTTGTTACTTCTTTCGTTTTCTGTCCCATCTATTCCCCTCCCTCTTT